AATGACCTCATAACCTGGGGTCACCTGGGGAAAGAAGTAGCGAGGGAGCAAGAAGAAGGAGCAGAGAAAGAGAGGAAGATGGAGAGTTAAAGAAGCAGAGAGAGGGAGAGAGAGAAAATGTCAATGACCTATTGACCTGGGGTCAATGACCTCTTGGCTTGGGGTCAATAACTTCTTGAGGAAGGGTGAGGGAGAGAGAGGAAGAAGAGAGAGAGAGGAAGAGGGAGAGAGAAAAGGTCAATGACCTCTTGACCTGAGGTCAACGACCTCTTGACCTGGGGTCAATGACCTCTTGATGGAGAGAGCGGTAGAAGGGAGAGGTAGAGGGAGAGTGAGAGAGGAAGAGGGAGAGAAGAAGAGGGAGGGACAGAGAGAGGAAGAAGGGAGAGAGAGAGGAAGAGGAGAGAGAGAGAGGAAGAGGAAAGAGAGAGAGAGAGAGGAAGAGGGAGAGAGAGAGGGGGGAGAGAAAGAGAGAAAAGGTCAATGACCTCTTGGCCTGGGGGTCAATGACCTCTTGACCTGAGGTCAATGACCTCATGAAAGAGGAAGAGGAAGGAAGAAGAGAGAGAGAGAGAGGAAGAAGATAGAGAGAGAAGAAGAAGAGAGAGAGGAAGAAGAGAGAGAGGAAGAAGAGAGAGAGAGGAAGAAGAGAGAGAGAGGAAGAAGAGAGAGAGAGGAAGAGGGAGAGTGAGGAAGAAGGAGAGAGAGAGGAAGAGGGAGAGAGAGAGAAAAGGTCAATGACCTTTTGAACCGGGGTCAATGACCTCTTGACCTGGGGTCGTTGACCTTTTCTCTCTCTTCCTCTCTCTCTCCTCCCATATCTCTCTTCCTCTCTCTCTCTCTCCGCCTCTCTTCCTCTTTCTCTCGCTCTCTTCCTCTCTCTTCCTTCCTCTCTCTCTCTCGACCTCTTGACCTGGGGTCAATGACCTCATGCACTGGGGTCAATGACCTCGTGACCTAGGGTCATTGAACTTTTCTCTCTCTCTTCCTCTCTCTCTCTCCCTCTCGCTCTCTTCCTCTTCCTCTCTCTCTCTCTTCCCTCTCTCATTGACCTGGGGTCAATGACCTCGTGACCTGGGGTCTCTCTCTTTTTCACTCTCTCTATCCCTCATCCTCTCTCTCCCTCTTTCTCTCTCTCTCTCTTCCTCTCTCTCAATGACACCTTGACCTAAGGTCAATGACCTCGTGACCTGGGGTCATTGACCTTTTCTCACTCTTCCCCACACACTCTCTCTCTCTCTCTCTCTCCTCCTCTCGCTCAATGACCCCTTGGCATGGGGTCAATGACCTCTTGACCTGGGGTCTCCTGGGGAAAGAAGTAGCGAGAGAGGAAAAAGAAGGGGCAGAGAAAGAGAGGAAGATGGAGAGTTAAAGAAGAAGGGAGAGAGAAAATGTCAATGACCTCTTGTCCTGGGGTCTGTGACCTCTAGAGGAAGAAAGATGGACAGATAAAGAAAGGAAATGGAGAGTGAGATAGGAAGAGGGAGATAAGAAGAGAGAGAGGAAGGAGAGAGAGGAAGAGGAAGAGAGAGGATGAGGGATAGAGAGAGAGAAAAGGTCAAGGACCTCTTGACCTGGGGTCAATGACCTCGTGACCTGGGGTCAATGACCTCTTGACCTGGGGTCAATGACCTCTTGACCTGGGGTCAATGACCTCTTGAGGAAGAAGGAGGGACAGAGAAAGAGGGAGAGAAGATGATAGAGGGAGGGAGGTGGAGAAGAAGAGAGAGTGGGAGAGAGGAAAAAGAGAGAGAGAGGAAGGGGGTGAGAGAGGAAGGGGGAGAGAGAGAAAGAGAGGAAAAGAGAAAAGGTCAATGACCACTTGACCTGGGGTCAATAACCTCTTGAAGGAGAGAGAGGGAGGGAGAGAGAGGTAGAAGGAGAGTGAGAGTGAGAGAGGAAGAAGAGAGAGAGGAAGAAGAGAGAGAGAAAGAGAGAAAAGGTCAATGACCTCTTAATGGAGAGAGAGAGGTAGAGGGAGAGTGAGAGAAGAAGAGAGAGGGAGAAAGAGAGAGGAAGAGGGAGAGAGAGAAAGAGAGAAAAGGTCAATGACTTCTTGACCTGGGGTCAATGACCTCTTGACCTGGGGTCAATGACCTCTTGAAAGAGGGGGAGAGGAAGAAGAGAGAGATAGAGGGAGCGTGAGAGAGGAAGAGGGAGAGAAGAAGAGAGAGGTAGAGGGAGCGCGAGAGAGGTAGAGGGATCACGAGAGAGGAAGAAGGAGAGAAGAAGAGAGAGGTAGAGGGAGCGCGAGAGAGGAAGAGGGAGAGAGGGGGAGAGAGAGGAAGAGAGAAGGAAGAGGGAGAGAGAGATGGGAAGAGGGAGAGAAGAAGAGAGAGGGGGAGAGAGAGGAAGAGAGAAGGAAGAGGGAGAGAGAGATGGGAAGAGGGAGAGAGAGAGAGAGAGAGAGAGAGAGAGGGGAAGAAAGAGAAGAGGGAAGAGGGAGAGAGAGGAAGAGGCAGAGAGAGGAAGAGGGAGAGAGAGGAAGAGGGACAGAAAAGGTCAATGACCCCAGGTCAAGAGGTCATTGACCTTTCCTCTCTCTCTCTCTCTCTCTCTTCCTCTCTCTCTCTCTCTTCCTCTCTCTCTCTCTCTTCCTCTCTCTCTCTCTCTCTCTCTTCCTCTCTCTCAATGACACCTTGACCTGGGGTCAATGACCTCTTGACCTGGGGTCAATGACCTCTTGACCTGGGGTCATTGTCCTTTCCTCTCTCTTCCTCTCTCGCTCTCATCCTCTCTATACCTCATCCTCTCTCTCTCTCTTCTTCCTCTCTCTCTTCTTCTCTCCCTCTTCCTATCTCACTCTCCATTTTCCTCTCTTTATCTGTCCATCCTTCTTCCTCTAGAGGTCACTGACCCCAGGTCAAGAGGTGATTGACCTTTTCTCTCTCTCTCTGTACCTCTCTCTCTGTACCTCTCTCTTCTTCTTTCACTCTCCATCTTCCTCTCTTTCTCTGTCCCTCCTTCTTCCTCTCTCGCTACTTCTTTCCCCCGGTGACCCCAGGTCATGAGGTCATTGACCATATTTCAAGGGGTCATTGAGAGATGATGATTTTTATGATTTTTGCCACATTTTTCACGGATTTGTCTAAAAATTGGTATATGTTGGTCATAATGGATTCGAGCTCCGGTGGCGAAACATTGTATGTATAGGCTCACATTTTAGTATAACTCCGATATAAAGGTACCTCCAGATATTGGGTATTTTGATGATATTTGCCACATGTTTTCACGGATTTGTCTAAAAATTGGTATGTGTTGGTCATAATGGGTTCTAGATCCGGTGTCGAAACATTGTATGTAAAGGTTCACGTTTTGGTATAACTCCCATATAACGGGACCTCCCGATATATGGTATTTTGATGATTTTTGGAACATTTTCCCATTAATATGTCTAAAAAGTGGTATTTGTGGGTCATAATGGGTTCTAATGTTTCCTTTACCCTAAGGTGGATGGTATTTAAAGTTCGGCTCGGCCGTTTTTATACCCTACAACACTATGTGTTGGGGGTATTATAAGTTTGATTGGGCCAGAATTTATGTAACACCTCGAAATATTGGTTTCCCATATAGGAAAGTATATATGGATCTTCCTAGCTCGCCGAGCTGAGACGATCTAGCTATATATGTCCGTCCGTCCGTCTGTCCGTCCGTCTGTCCGTCTGTCCATGTTAATTTGTAATCACTCTACAGGTCGCAATTATGGCCCGATCTTCACGAAATTTATAATGGAGGTGGGTCTTAGGTCAGAATAGAACCCTATTTCTTTTGGAGATGATCGCATAATATTTAGGGGTTGAAATGGACCAAATACTGAAAAAATGTCGGATTTTGCAGTAGCTATACAGGTCGCAATTATAGACCAATCGACGCGGAATTTCGCATATAGCTAGAGTTTACCAATTTGGGTGGTCATCGGATAATATTTAGCGGGTAAAATATACCATATCTTTTGTGTTGAAAAAATTCAAAATTTTTCATTAAACCGCGAATATTTTAAATACCGGCGAAATCACAAAGCCATGACAAGGTTACTTCTGACCTTTACATTGATGTTAACATCCAATAAATCGGATATATAGCGAAATATGTGCGATATATATGTCTATCAAAGAAGATATGCTTGAAAGATCTCTTATATGTCGAGAACGGCTGAACTGATTTCGACAGTTCTCATTAATTCAGAATGACCTCTTGGCAGGAAAGAAACAACGTCTAAAAAATCGCATAAAAATATCTCTATGAAGATGAAAATATTGATTTTTTAAAATTTTCTCATATTTTTTCAATTTTGTCATATTTTTGGCATATTTTCATTTTAAATTAAACATTTGGTAATATTTCTACAGCTAACAAAACTAAGTACTTAGGATATCAGGATATCATATACAGATCGCATTTATGGCCCGATCCTTACGAAATTTTGCATGGGGATAAGATGTGGGTCAGAATAGAAGCCTACTCTTTTTGGAGATGATCGCCATATATTTAGGGGTTGAAATGGACCAAAAAACTGCAAAATTGTCAGCAGGTCGTAATTATCAACCGATCCTCACGCACATTTGAATGGGGGTTACCGGACATTGCAAAAGCCAAATTGGAAATGAGCAAATTAGTTTAAGTTGCTATTATTCGAAAATTAGAGAACGAAACCTGATGGTTTTCTTTATTATTTGGCACAATATCTTGTGGAATTCTTTCGAGTATCTCGCCTATATAAATTGTATCATTTATTATAGTGTTGTAGGGTATTCAACGGTCGGCCCCGCTCTACTGTAGCCTTTGCTTACTTGTTTTACTTGTTTTTAACTTGTTTTTAACTTTTTTTGTGCGACACAACTTTTTATTATTTGAGCAAGTATTTAACTGTTTGCAGTCCCACACCGGAATCCATACCTATACGGCTTCCTCGCAGTTTCCGCAGTAATCTTCCTATTCTTCATAATCGAATCTGCACCTCTTAAACTTTACTATACCCGAATTTTTTTTATTGATTTCAGATAACGTCTCGATTTATGGCCGATGTCATTGCCGATTGTGTAATGGGTTTGCAGAGCGACAGCTTCAAAGATGTTAACTCACCATTGCTGGTCAAACGACATGAAATGTTTCGATTTCATCCAGTCTACATGATCCTTACCGGTCTACTGCCAAGTATTGCAAAGATTAAAAAAGTTCGATCGATAAGTAAGGAATTCGAGGAGTATTTTGTCGATTTAATGGGCAAAACAATGGAAATGCGAAAATCTCATCTAGCAGCACAAGAAAGAGTCGATTTCCTTAATTACCTCTTGCAATTGCAAGAAAAGAAGAATTTAACCCATATGGAATTGTGTGCTCACGCAATGACTTTCATATTGGATGGATTCGAAACAGTGTCATCGATTCTGGCTCATACATTGTTACTGGTAAATATAGTAGTACAGGTATGTACTACAGCTTAATATTTGCTATTCATTTATTTTTCAGTTGGCTCGTCATCCAGAGAAACAAGAAAAATTGCGACTGGAAATTCAAGAAAATTTATCTTCAAATCGAGATTTTAATGCCATTCATGAATTGCCCTATCTTAATTCGTGTATCCTTGGTAAGAGTTTCCACAAAGGTCTTTAGTATCGGAGAGTTTCATTAGTGTTTATCTCTCAAACATTTTGTTTCAGAATCTCTACGTTTGTTTCCGGTGGATTTGTTTTCTCGTAAAATTTGCACCGAACCCATCGAATTGACAAATAAAAATGGCAAAACCTTCAAAGTTCCCCGTGGTATGTTGGTCATTATTCCCAAATATCCGATTATGATGGACGATGATTATTACCCGGATGCTTTGGAATTCCTTCCGGAAAGATTTTTAGAAGAAAGCGGTGGCGTTAAGAAATATCTCTCCAAAGGCGTCTATTGGTGTTATGGCGATGGTCCAAGAATTTGTCTAGGTATGGAAATCAATAAATGTATGCCTACAATTTCACACTGACTTTAAATCTTCCTTCAGGTGTAACTTTTGGTTTTGTCCAAATTAAGGCCGCCTTGGTGGAAATTTTAACATCATTCCGTGTTAAGCCAAATCCCAAAACTCGCACTGATTATGACTTGGATCCTACATATTTCTTGGCCCGTCTTGATGGTGGAATATATTTAGATTTTGAATTACTCTAAACTTGATCTCTTTGTCTTGATATGGAATACATAAATTATATTAACTGAATGAAAAAGTTAAGTAATAAAATATCTTGATTAAGCTAGTAATATTACAAGCTATGTTTGTGTCAAGTCTGTAGAGGGAAGAATAATGGAGAACAAAATAACAGGCCGGGCCGAACCATTTGGAACGAATTTGGCAATTCTCAGAAACAATAAAATCCGTTAAAAATTCTGTCAAAATATTAAAAATACCGAATGTAGCTGTTATATTAAGGTCCATAAGATGACATGGACCGGCATAGGTAACTTTTGCCATAAACCATTACAATATTCAAATACCAAATTTGAAACAATTACCGTGAGTAATGTCGCTAAATTCATCAAAATAGCGAATAACGGGAGGTTATATGGGGTCTATACGAAGAGGTGGATCTGCTCAGACGATTTTTTGTCTTATGATGTAGTATCCATTACGAACTTCAAATACCAAATTATAAACAATTCCGGTGAATAATGTCTCTAAAATCATCAAATTACCGAATATCGGGAGATACCGTTATATGGGGGCTATACGAAGACGTGTACCTGCACAGATAATCTCCTCTCATAGGCTGTAGCATCAATTACAAACATCAAATACCAAATTTGAAACAATTCCGGTGAATAATGTCGCTACAATCATCAAATACCGAATATCGGGAGGTGTTTTTATAAGGGGGCAATACGAAGACGTGGACCTGCACAGATAATCTCCTCTCATAGGCTGTAGCATCAATTACAAACATCAAATACCAAAATTGAAACAATTCCGGTGAATAATGTCGCTAAACTCATCAAAATACCGAATATCGGGAGGTACCGTTATATGGGGGCTATACGAAGACGTAGACCTGCAATGACAATTTTCTGTCTTAGACTGTAGTATCCATTGCGAACTTAAAATACCAAATTTGAAACAATTCCGGTGAATAATGTCGCAAAAATCATCAAAATACCGAATATCGGGAGGTACCATTATATGGGGGCTATACGAAGACGTGGACCTGCACAGACAATTTTATGTCTTAGACTGTAGTATCCATTGCGAACTTAAAATACCAAATTTGAAAGAATTCCGGTGAATAATGTCGCTAAAATCATCAAAATACCGAATAACGGGAGGTACCGTTATATGGGGGCTATACCAAAACGTGGACCTACATGACCCGTTTTCAATACTAAAAGTCCTGTAGAAATTACTATACATTTGAGTAAAATTTTATCACTCTACTTCAATTCGTTTGAAAGCTAGAGTGATTTCCACAGACGGACGGACGGATAAATCGACATAGAATTTTATGCTGATCAAGAATATATATACTTTGTGGGATCTAAAATGTATATTTCGATACGATACCTCCATACTATGGTGGAGGGTATAAAAATCGAATGAAGCTGTGTTTAGGACATTGTTCAGATTAGCAGATCTTTTGAAGTCATTCAGACCTACAACTTCAGTAATACAGCCATTAAAAAATACCTATGTCGTTTCGGGCTGCCAAGATACTTGAACAGATTAAAGAATAAAAGGTATTTGTGTCTGAAGCGATATTCGTAAAAATCCATGAGATGATATTGCACTTTAAGGCACAATAAACTTGTAATCGGAAGAAGATTTAAATGGGAGCTGTATCCAAATCTGAACTGATCTCGGTAGAATTTGGCAGGGGCATTTCTATGCTGTATCTGATAGTTGGTATTAAATATTGTTGTTGTGGGGAGTATTTTACGGGCATAAAAAATCGGAAGAAACATATATATGGGACGTATAGCTATATATTAACTGATTTTCAAATTTGATACATCCTGAGTCCTAATTCGTTCGTATGTGCCAAAATCTATTCAATTCGGGCTTATATCAACCAATTGGTACACAATAAACTTGTATATGTAAGGGCTCCCTTTCCAAATCTGAACCGATCTCGATAAAATTTGGCAAAAATATTTCTGAGCTGTATTTGATATATTTCTCCAAATATCGTTGTTAAGTATTGCATATTACGGATGTGGAGGAAAAAAATAACAAATCGGTTGAACAATATACATGGGAGGTATATCTGAACCGATTTTCACCAAATTAAAGACACTTATTTCTAGGCTCAAATTGGTTATGTGCCAAATTCTATCCTATTCGGACTAATGTTACACATTTGGTGTAGAATAAAAGGCAAATAGGACAAAAATATTTGTGGGAGCCATATCAAAATGTTGAGCGATTATCTCCAATTTAAATAGGGTTCGTCCTTGGACCAAACAAATATTTAGTGCAAAGTTTCATCTTGATCGGACAATAAATGCGACCTGTACTTTATTTACAAAAAATGCATGGAAATCGGTTCAAATATAGCTATAGCTCCCATATATATTGTTCATCCGATTTGTTATTTTTGTCTTTCGCAGCCGTAATATGCACTCTGTAACAACAATATTTGAGGAAATATATCAAACACAGCTCATATAATACCTTTGCTAAATTTTATCGAGATCGGGTCAGATTGGGATATAGCTGCCATATATAATTTCGTCCGATTTGCCTTTTATTGTGCATCAAAAGTATAATATTAGCCCAAATGGGATGGAATTTTGTGAAGATCGGTTCAGATATAGCTCCCATATATATTGTTCATCCAACTTGTTATATTTGTTCCCCGCAGCCGTAACATTCACTCCGTAAAAACGATGTTCAGGAAATCTATAAAATACAGCTTAGAAATACTTTGCCAAATTTTATCGAGATCCGCTCAGATTTTCAGATCACAAATTCCCATAAAAAAATTTTATTTGTTATGTGAAGCTCCACTAAAAATTCAAAGCGGTGTAGGATATCATAAAGTCTGCCCCGCCGAACAAAGTCACAAAAAATTAAAAAGAAAAACTGATAAAAGCAATATAATCTACCGAATTACCACGAAAAATAAATTAAAAACAAAAATATCAGGACAAAAATCTGACATTAAAATGAGATACCAAAATGACAAGCCGAAAACAGAACTCGTAAATCACTGTACCACAACACAACTAACCACCCACACTTTGATGGAGATGTTACTGCATTCTCAATGTGCCAAAGACAAAACGAATGAATTGAAAAACAGATATCGGCAGCAGTGCTTTAAGCCATAGAGGACCAGTAGGCAGGAGCATAGAAAGATTATATTAGCACAGAAAACAGTAGTGCACTGTTTACATCACATGACGATGGTAGATCTTCTACCTTAGTTGTTAATTTTAAATTTAGGAATTTTAGAAAAATTAAAACAAATTAATGCACATTCCAATAAAAACTAAACTTTTTATTTAATTGTTTTAAACTCCAGCCAAATGTCACCTTCTAGTTGTGACTGCAAATGAATGGGATTGTATTCATTGTTACTTCGCGTCTTCGGATTAATTATGACTTCAAAGTTGCGAATAATTTCCACCAGAGCTGCTTTTATTTGAATCAATGAAAAGTTCATACCTAAAAATACAAAAACGATAAAATTAGGATTAGCTATTGGTCTCTTCCAGAACTGCAAGAATGTAAAAGTTTCACTGAATTTCCCCTTATGATATCGAAAAAATTGGAGAACTAGTAGATACTTGCAGGTTCTGGAACGGAACTTATGTTAAATTGTGCACTTACCCAAACACGACCTCGGTCCATTACTAAATGCTAAGTAAAGTCCCTTATCCTTGCATCTCTTTAAATTTCCATGTAGAAATCGTTCAGGAATGAAATTTCCAGGTTGAGTGTATAATGCAGAATCATTTAAAATCGCATGAATTGGCAGCAAAATTGCAGTTCCTTGAGCTATTTTCAACACCTCATCTTTCTTATTTTTCAATTCAGCAGGCTTAGTGCAGACTTTAACCATAAACGTGAGTGGCGGGAAGATTCGTATGGTTTCTGCAGAAAAAAATAACAATGTATTGAATAATAACAATGTATTAAAGCATTAGAATCGACCAATTTTTATACCCTACAACACTATGTGTTGGGGGTATTATAAGTTTGATTGGGACAAAAATTATGTAACACTTCGAAATATTGGTTTCCCACATAGGAAAGTATATATGGATCTTCCTATCTCGCCGTGCTGAGTCAATCTAGCTATGTATGTCCGCCCGTCTGTCCATGTTAATTTGTAATCACTCTACAGGTCGCAATTATGGCCCGAACTTCGCATAATATTTAGGGGTTGAAATGGACCAAAACCCTATTTTGCAGTTACTCTACAGGTCGTAATTATAGACCAATTGAAGCGGAAGTTAGCGTGGGGCTAGAGCTTAGGTCTGGGCACCACCAATTTTGGTGGTCATAGTGGGTGAAATAGACCATAACATTTGTGTTTAATTAAAGTCAAATTTTCCACTAAAGCGCGAATATTTTTAATCCCGGCGTAATCACAAATAGACGAACAGGTCAATTCTGAAAGTTACGTAGATGCCGATAGTAAATATATCGGATATATATATAGCGAAATATATAAAATGTATATTTGCAAAGGAAGGGGATGGGCTTAACTCTAGTTTAGTAAAAACTCTTCAATTTTTTCGAAAATTTTTTCAGTGGTAGGTATTTTAACCATGATCCCGGGAAACTATTTTTTTCTTGGGGGACGGACCTGGGACCCCAGATTTTTGACCCGAAAGTCCGGGTTCAAGACCCCGACTAGACCCGGATCCACTTACCCGATATAGACAATCTCCTCTTTCTTCCATCTTCCTCTTTTTCTCTGTCCCTCCTTCTTCCTCTCTCGCTACTTCTTTCCCCCGGTGACCCCAGGTCATGAGGTCATTGACCATATTTCAAGGGGTCATTGAGAGATGATGATTTTTATGATTTTTGCCACATTTTTCACGGATTTGTCTAAAAATTGGTATATGTTGGTCATAATGGATTCGAGCTCCGGTGGCGAAACATTGTATGTATAGGCTCACATTTTAGTATAACTCCGATATAAAGGTACCTCCAGATATTGGGTATTTTGATGATATTTGCCACATGTTTTCACGGATTTGTCTAAAAATTGGTATGTGTTGGTCATAATGGGTTCTAGATCCGGTGTCGAAACATTGTATGTAAAGGTTCACGTTTTGGTATAACTCCCATATAACGGGACCTCCCGATATATGGTATTTTGATGATTTTTGGAACATTTTCCCATTAATATGTCTAAAAAGTGGTATTTGTGGGTCATAATGGGTTCTAATGTTTCCTTTACCCTAAGGTGGATGGTATTTAAAGTTCGGCTCGGCCGTTTTTATACCCTATGTATGTCCGTCCGTCCGTCTGTCCGTCCGTCTGTCCGTCTGTCCATGTTAATTTGTAATCACTCTACAGGTCGCAATTATGGCCCGATCTTCACGAAATTTATAATGGAGGTGGGTCTTAGGTCAGAATAGAACCCTATTTCTTTTGGAGATGATCGCATAATATTTAGGGGTTGAAATGGACCAAATACTGAAAAAATGTCGGATTTTGCAGTAGCTATACAGGTCGCAATTATAGACCAATCGACGCGGAATTTCGCATGTAGCTAGAGTTTACCAATTTGGGTGGTCATCGGATAATATTTAGCGGGTAAAATATACCATATCTTTTGTGTTGAAAAAATTCAAAATTTTTCATTAAACCGCGAATATTTTAAATACCGGCGAAATCACAAAGCCATGACAAGGTTACTTCTGACCTTTACATTGATGTTAACATCCAATAAATCGGATATATAGCGAAATATGTGCGATATATATGTCTATCAAAGAAGATATGCTTGAAAGATCTCTTATATGTCGAGAACGGCTGAACTGATTTCGACAGTTCTCATTAATTCAGAATGGCCTCTTGGCAGGAAAGAAACAACGTCTAAAAAATCGCATAAAAATATCTCTATGAAGATGAAAATATTGATTTTTTAAAATTTTCTCATATTTTTTCAATTTTGTCATATTTTTGGCATATTTTCATTTTAAATTAAACATTTGGTAATATTTCTACAGCTAACAAAACTAAGTACTTAGGATATCAGGATATCATATACAGATCGCATTTATGGCCCGATCCTTACGAAATTTTGCATGGGGATAAGATGTGGGTCAGAATAGAAGCCTACTCTTTTTGGAGATGATCGCCATATATTTAGGGGTTGAAATGGACCAAAAAACTGCAAAATTGTCAGCAGGTCGTAATTATCAACCGATTCTCACGCACATTTGAATGGGGGTTACCGGACATTGCAAAAGCCAAATTGGAAATGAGCAAATTAGTTTAAGTTGCTATTATTCGAAAATTAGAGAACGAAACCTGATGGTTTTCTTTATTATTTGGCACAATATCTTGTGGAATTCTTTCGAGTATCTCGCCTATATAAATTGTATCATTTATTATAGTGTTGTAGGGTATTCAACGGTCGGCCCCGCTCTACTGTAGCCTTTGCTTACTTGTTTTACTTGTTTTTAACTTGTTTTTAACTTTTTTTGTGCGACACAACTTTTTATTATTTGAGCAAGTATTTAACTGTTTGCAGTCCCACACCGGAATCCATACCTATACGGCTTCCTCGCAGTTTCCGCAGTAATCTTCCTATTCTTCATAATCGAATCTGCACCTCTTAAACTTTACTATACCCGAATTTTTTTTATTGATTTCAGATAACGTCTCGATTTATGGCCGATGTCATTGCCGATTGTGTAATGGGTTTGCAGAGCGACAGCTTCAAAGATGTTAACTCACCATTGCTGGTCAAACGACATGAAATGTTTCGATTTCATCCAGTCTACATGATCCTTACCGGTCTACTGCCAAGTATTGCAAAGATTAAAAAAGTTCGATCGATAAGTAAGGAATTCGAAGAGTATTTTGTCGATTTAATGGGCAAAACAATGGAAATGCGAAAATCTCATCTAGCAGCACAAGAAAGAGTCGATTTCCTTAATTACCTCTTGCAATTGCAAGAAAAGAAGAATTTAACCCATATGGAATTGTGTGCTCACGCAATGACTTTCATATTGGATGGATTCGAAACAGTGTCATCGATTCTGGCTCATACATTGTTACTGGTAAATATAGTAGTACAGGTATGTACTACAGCTTAATATTTGCTATTCATTTATTTTTCAGTTGGCTCGTCATCCAGAGAAACAAGAAAAATTGCGACTGGAAATTCAAGAAAATTTATCTTCAAATCGAGATTTTAATGCCATTCATGAATTGCCCTATCTTAATTCGTGTATCCTTGGTAAGAGTTTCCACAAAGGTCTTTAGTATCGGAGAGTTTCATTAGTGTTTATCTCTCAAACATTTTGTTTCAGAATCTCTACGTTTGTTTCCGGTGGATTTGTTTTCTCGTAAAATTTGCACCGAACCCATCGAATTGACAAATAAAAATGGCAAAACCTTCAAAGTTCCCCGTGGTATGTTGGTCATTATTCCCAAATATCCGATTATGATGGACGATGATTATTACCCGGATGCTTTGGAATTCCTTCCGGAAAGATTTTTAGAAGAAAGCGGTGGCGTTAAGAAATATCTCTCCAAAGGCGTCTATTGGTGTTATGGCGATGGTCCAAGAATTTGTCTAGGTATGGAAATCAATAAATGTATGCCTACAATTTCACACTGACTTTAAATCTTCCTTCAGGTGTAACTTTTGGTTTTGTCCAAATTAAGGCCGCCTTGGTGGAAATTTTAACATCATTCCGTGTTAAGCCAAATCCCAAAACTCGCACTGATTATGACTTGGATCCTACATATTTCTTGGCCCGTCTTGATGGTGGAATATATTTAGATTTTGAATTACTCTAAACTTGATCTCGTTGTCTTGATATGGAATACATAAATTATATTAACTGAATGAAAAAGTTAAGTAATAAAATATCTTGATTAAGCTAGTAATATTACAAGCTATGTTTGTGTCAAGTCTGTAGAGGGAAGAATAATGGAGAACAAAATAACAGGCCGGGCCGAACCATTTGGAACGAATTTGGCAATTCTCAGAAACAATAAAATCCGTTAAAAATTCTGTCAAAATATTAAAAATACCGAATGTAGCTGTTATATTAAGGTCCATAAGATGACATGGACCGGCATAGGTAACTTTTGCCATAAACCATTACAATATTCAAATACCAAATTTGAAACAATTACCGTGAGTAATGTCGCTAAATTCATCAAAATAGCGAATAACGGGAGGTTATATGGGGTCTATACGAAGAGGTGGATCTGCTCAGACGATTTTTTGTCTTATGATGTAGTATCCATTACGAACTTCAAATACCAAATTATAAACAATTCCGGTGAATAATGTCTCTAAAATCATCAAATTACCGAATATCGGGAGATACCGTTATATGGGGGCTATACGAAGACGTGTACCTGCACAGATAATCTCCTCTCATAGGCTGTAGCATCAATTACAAACATCAAATACCAAATTTGAAACAATTCCGGTGAATAATGTCGCTACAATCATCAAATACCGAATATCGGGAGGTGTTTTTATAAGGGGGCAATACGAAGACGTGGACCTGCACAGATAATCTCCTCTCATAGGCTGTAGCATCAATTACAAACATCAAATACCAAAATTGAAACAATTCCGGTGAATAATGTCGCTAAACTCATCAAAATACCGAATATCGGGAGGTACCATTATATGGGGGCTATACGAAGACGTGGACCTGCACAGACAATTTTCTGTCATAGGCTGTAGCATCCATTACAAACATCAAATACCAAATTTGAAACAATTCCGGTGAATAATGTCGCAAAAATCATCAAAATACCGAATATCGGGAGGTACCATTATATGGGGGCTATACGAAGACGTGGACCTGCACAGACAATTTTATGTCTTAGACTGTAGTATCCATTGCGAACTTAAAATACCAAATTTGAAAGAATTCCGGTGAATAATGTCGCTAAAATCATCAAAATACCGAATAACGGGAGGTACCGTTATATGGGGGCTATACCAAAACGTGGACCTACATGACCCGTTTTCAATACTAAAAGTCCTGTAGAAATTACTATACATTTGAGTAAAATTTTATCACTCTACTTCAATTCGTTTGAAAGCTAGAGTGATTTCCACAGACGGACGGACGGATAAATCGACATAGAATTTTATGCTGATCAAGTATATATATACTTTGTGGGATCTAAAATGTATATTTCGAGGTGTTACAAATGGAATGACAAACATAATATACCCTCCATACTATGGTGGAGGGTATAAAAATCGAATGAAGCTGTGTTTAGGACATTGTTCAGATTAGCAGATCTTTTGAAGTCATTCAGACCTACAACTTCAGTAATACAGCCATTAAAAAATACCTATGTCGTTTCGGGCTGCCAAGATACTTGAACAGATTAAAGAATAAAAGGTATTTGTGTCTGAAGCGATATTCGTAAAAATCCATGAGATGATATTGCACTTTAAGGCACAATAAACTTGTAATCGGAAGAAGATTTAAATGGGAGCTGTATCCAAATCTGAACTGATCTCGGTAGAATTTGGCAGGGGCATTTCTATGCTGTATCTGATAGTTGGTATTAAATATTGTTGTTGTGGGGAGTATTTTACGGGCATAAAAAATCGGAAGAAACATATATATGGGACGTATAGCTATATATTAACTGATTTTCAAATTTGATACATCCTGAGTCCTAATTCGTTCGTATGTGCCAAAATCTATTCAATTCGGGCTTATATCAACCAATTGGTACACAATAAACTTGTATATGTAAGGGCTCCCTTTCCAAATCTGAACCGATCTCGATAAAATTTGGCAAAAATATTTCTGAGCTGTATTTGATATATTTCTCCAAATATCGTTGTTAAGTATTGCATATTACGGATGTGGAGGAAAAAAATAACAAATCGGTTGAACAATATACATGGGAGGTATATCTGAACCGATTTTCACCAAATTAAAGACACTTATTTCTAGGCTCAAATTGGTTATGTGCCAAATTCTATCCTATTCGGACTAATGTTACACATTTGGTGTAGAATAAAAGGCAAATAGGACAAAAATATTTGTGGGAGCCATATCAAAATGTTGAGCGATTATCTCCAATTTAAATAGGGTTCGTCCTTGGACCAAACAAATATTTAGTGCAAAGTTTCATCTTGATCGGACAATAAATGCGACCTGTACTTTATTTACAAAAAATGCATGGAAATCGGTTCAAATATAGCTATAGCTCCCATATATATTGTTCATCCGATTTGTTATTTTTGTCTTTCGCAGCCGTAATATGCACTCTGTAACAACAATATTTGAGGAAATATATCAAACACAGCTCATATAATACCTTTGCTAAATTTTATCGAGATCGGGTCAGATTGGGATATAGCTGCCATATATAATTTCGTCCGATTTGCCTTTTATTGTGCATCAAAAGTATAATATTAGCCCAAATGGGATGGAATTTTGTGAAGATCGGTTCAGATATAGCTCCCATATATATTGTTCATCCAACTTGTTATATTTGTTCCCCGCAGCCGTAACATTCACTCCGTAAAAACGATGTTCAGGAAATCTATAAAATACAGCTTAGAAATACTTTGCCAAATTTTATCGAGATCCGCTCAGATTTTCAGATCACAAATTCCCATAAAAAAATTTTATTTGTTATGTGAAGCTCCACTAAAAATGCAAAGCGGTGTAGGATATCATAAAGTCTGCCCCGCCGAACAAAGTCACAAAAAATTAAAAAGAAAAACTGATAAAAGCAATATAATCTACCGAATTACCACGAAAAATAAATTAAAAACAAAAATATCAGGACAAAAATCTGACATTAAAATGAGATACCAAAATGACAAGCCGAAAACAGAACTCGTAAATCACTGTACCACAACACAACTAACCACCCACACTTTGATGGAGATGTTACTGCATTCTCAATGTGCCAAAGACAAAACGAATGAATTGAAAAACAGATATCGGCAGCAGTGCTTTAAGCCATAGAGGACCAGTAGGCAGTAGCATAGAAAGATTATATTAGCACAGAAAACAGTAGTGCACTGTTTACATCACATGACGATGGTAGATCTTCTACCTTAGTTGTTAATTTTAAATTTAGGAATTTTAGAAAAATTAAAACAAATTAATGCACATTCCAATAAAAACTAAACTTTTTATTTAATTGTTTTAAACTCCAGCCAAATGTCACCTTCTAGTTGTGACTGCAAATGAATGGGATTGTATTCATTGTTACTTCGCGTCTTCGGATTAATTATGACTTCAAAGTTGCGAATAATTTCCACCAGAGCTGCTTTTATTTGAATCAATGAAAAGTTCATACCTAAAAATACAAAAACGATAAAATTAGGATTAGCTATTGGTCTCTTCCAGAACTGCAAGAATGTAAAAGTTTCACTGAATTTCCCCTTATGATATCGAAAAAATTGGAGAACTAGTAGATACTTGCAGGTTCTGGAACGGAACTTATGTTAAATTGTGCACTTACCCAAACACGACCTCGGTCCATTACTAAATGCTAAGTAAAGTCCCTTATCCTTGCATCTCTTTAAATTTCCATGTAGAAATCGTTCAGGAATGAAATTTCCAGGTTGAGTGTATAATGCAGAATCATTTAAAATCGCATGAATTGGCAGCAAAATTGCAGTTCCTTGAGCTATTTTCAACACCTCATCTTTCTTATTTTTCAATTCAGCAGGCTTAGTGCAGACTTTAACCATAAACGTGAGTGGCGGGAAGATTCGTATGGTTTCTGCAGAAAAAAATAACAATGTATTGAATAATAACAATGTATTAAAGCATTAGAATCGACCAATTTTTATACCCTACAACACTATGTGTTGGGGGTATTATAAGTTTGATTGGGACAAAAATTATGTAACACTTCGAAATATTGGTTTCCCACATAGGAAAGTATATATGGATCTTCCTATCTCGCCGTGCTGAGTCAATCTAGCTATGTATGTCCGCCCGTCTGTCCATGTTAATTTGTAATCACTCTACAGGTCGCAATTATGGCCCGAACTTCGCATAATATTTAGGGGTTGAAATGGACCAAAACCCTATTTTGCAGTTACTCTACAGGTCGTAATTATAGACCAATTGAAGCGGAAGTTAGCGTGGGGCTAGAGCTTAGGTCTGGGCACCACCAATTTTGGTGGTCATAGTGGGTGAAATAGACCATAACATTTGTGTTTAATTAAAGTCAAATTTTCCACTAAAGCGCGAATATTTTTAATCCCGGCGTAATCACAAATAGACGAACAGGTCAATTCTGAAAGTTACGTAGATGCCGATAGTAAATATATCGGATATATATATAGCGAAATATATAAAATGTATATTTGCAAAGGAAGGGGATGGGCTTAACTCTAGTTTAGTAAAAACTCTTCAATTTTTTCGAAAATTTTTTCAGTGGTAGGTATTTTAACCATGATCCCGGGAAACTATTTTTTTCTTGGGGGACGGACCAGGGACCCCAGATTTTTGACCCGAAAGTCCGGGTTCAAGACCCCGACTAGACCCGGATCCACTTACCCGATATAGACAATATGGGTATCGTTGGAAAGCTTATGAAAATACCTATCCAACAAGTCGTCACATGATGGGGTAAGATGTTACGGTGAAAACGGTCCATTATGGGGGACAATAAAATTGATGCCAAATTATAGCTGACATTTCTACCTTTCCAAAATGCTACAATTTGTGCTAATACCTTCACTGAGTTCAGAGATATGGGTCTTTCCATCCGCATAACCAGTTCATTAAAACTATGTTTTCAATAAAAAAGGTATATTTTGCGTAAGCATGAAATTCAGAAGTCTTTGGTTCGCGTTAGCCGGTGTAGGACATACCCAGAGGAGAAAATCTCAAGCCCCGGCCGAAGGCCGGCTACTTACAAAAGGTATCCAATTTAGAAAACTTTGGTTCGCGTTAGCCGGTGTGGGACATACCCAGAGGAGAAAGTATCAAGCCCCGGCCGAAGGCCGCCTATTTACAAAAGGTATCCAATTTAGAAAACTTTGGTTCGCGTTAGCCGGTGTGGGACATACCCAGAGGAGAAAGTCTCAAGCCCCGGCCGAAGGCCGGCTATTTACAAAAAGTGTCAAATTTAGAAAACTTTGGTTCGCGTTAGCCGGTGTGGGACATACCCAGGGGAGAAAATCTCAAGCCCCGGCCGAAGGCCGGCTACTTATAAAAGGTATCCAATTTACAAAACTTTGGTTCGCGTTAGCCGGTGTAGGACATACCCAGAGGAGAAAATCTCAAGCCCCGGCCGAAGGCCGGCTACTTACAAAAAGTGCCGAAATTATGAACCTTTGGTTCGCGTTAGCCGGTGTCGGACATACCCATAGGTGAAAATCTCAAGCCCCGGCCGAAGGCCGGCTATTTACAAAAAGTGCCAAATTTAGAAAACTTTTGTTATTCCGACGACTGTTAAGCGAAATAAACACTTTTTTATTGAAAACATCATTTTAATGAACTGGTTAGAATCGCGTTATGCGGATGGAAAGACCCATATCTCTGGACCCGAAAAAGGTATTAGCACAAATTGTAGCATTTTGGAAAGGTAAGAGTGTCAGCTATAATTTGGAAACAATTTTGTTGACCCCCATAATGGACCCTTTTTTGACTTTTTGGGAGATTTATAAAAAATCCGGGTCCAAAAAATCGATAATTTGACTATAACTTCCGAACCATGACAACTTACCCCTTCATGTGACCACTTGTTGGATAGGTATTTCCATAAGCTTTCAATCAATACCCTATCGGGTATATCGGGTAAGTGGATCCGGGTCCAGGTGGGGTCTTGATCCCGGACTTTCGGGTCAAAAATCTGGGGTCCCGGGTCCGTCCCCCAAGAAAAAAATAGTTTCCCGGGATCAGGGTAAAAATACCTACCTCTGGAAAAAATTTCGAAAAAATCTAAGAGTTTTTACTAAACTAGAGTTGTTCCAGGGGATGTTAGCTAGAATGCTTATATCTCAAGAATGGTTGAACCGATTTTGACAAATTTTGTCAATTCAGAATGCCCTCTTGTATAAAATCTAAAAAATATGCAAATATGCAAATAATGACGTTAATATAGATTTTGAAGTATTTTGTGATATTTTTTTTATTTTTCATATTTTTTTATCGCATGCGATTTTTTCAATTTGACTTTGATAAGTCAATATTATGAAGTGTACATTTTGTTATATTTTTTCACCATACAACACAGGTTGGGGTTATTATATACAGATTTCAATTATCGTCCGATCCTTTGGATGACCATTGGACTATATTAAGCTGTAAAATGGACCACAATAACTAAGAGCACGAGGAAATGCGTAAATATTGGGCAAAAGTCCCTGGTCAAAATGCTAAAGGTAATAACTGGGCAGTGCTCCGTGACATAATTTCGAAAGCGATATCTTCCAAAATTGATTTGGACATAAAAGGAATTCTAACATATTGTAGTGTTGTAGGGTATCACATGGTCGGCCCCGCACGACTATAGCTTTTGCTTACTTGTTCATATTCCATTTGAAATTTTAATTTTTTCCGCATTTTTGATATGGCCAAAATGACTTATTGTTTGTAATTGTAATAATCCTAATAATCCAAACTTAGATCGAGCTTAATATTCAAATGATTTTTACGTCAAAAAAAAAAAAAAAAATAAATAAATAAATTAGATGAAATCGGTTCAATTCTTAGGGGACCTTCGCCAAAAAAGCTTAAATTTTTAACTGTTTTTATTTTTTACTTTGTCATACCGTTTGTAACACCTCGAATATACATTTTAGAACCCACACAGTATATATATTCTATATCAGCATAAAATTCTATGTCGATTTAGCGATGTCCGTCCGTCTATCCATCAGTCCGAACGAAATGAAGTAGATTGATAAAATTTAACTTAAATGTATATTATGTCTGCAGAACATTTGGTATTGAAAATGGGCCATGTAGATCCAGGTTTTGGTATAGCCCACATATAACGGTACCTCCCGATATTCGGTATTTTGATGATTTTAGCGTCATTATTTACCGGAATTGTTTCAACTGTGATATTTCCACGTATTCGTATAGCCCCCATATAACGGTACCTCTCGATATTCGGCACTTTGATGATATTAGCGACATTATTCACTCGAATTGTTTCAAATTTGGTATTTGCAGTTCGTAATGAATGCTACAGCTTCAGGCAGAAAATTGTCTGTGCAGGTCCGCATTTTGGTATAGCCCCCATATAATAGTACCTCCCTATATTGATGATTTTAGCTACATCATTCACCGATTTTTTTTTTTCAAGTTTCGCATTTGATATTGTTATAGCTTATGACAAAAGTTGCATATGCAGGTCCACGTCGCCGTTTGAGCCCTACATTTGAGCGGCTACATTTGGTATTTTTAAGATTTTAAGAAACGAATTTTATTTTATTTATTTATTTTATTTGAAAATTAGTAAATTCGTTCTAAATTGTGGAGAGTATTCAAAGTTCGACACGGCCAAACTTACAACTTTTTTACTTTTTTTTTTTTTTTTTTGAAATTTTACAATGTTTGGCAACACTTATTGGCATCTGTACCTGAAACAGGAGAATTCCTTTTCTTTGCTATTGTGCGTATACGTGGGGACAATAGCACTTGCCCTTTTGAGGCAAGATTTAAGTGTGTGTTTTATTAAATTATTAACACTTTTATTAATTTATGAAACACTTAAAAATGTGCTAAAGGAAAGAAGGGTAATTAGCTTGAAATTAAAATTGGACTAATAAAAAGTTTTAAATCTGAAAAAATGGTTGCTAATATAGCGAATCCTTATATAAAGGCAGTCCTATTTATTATACCCTACATCACAAGGTGGTGGGGCTATTATGTTTGTAACAGCCAAAAGGAAACGAAATAGACCAATAGTTCCTTTAGATTATCTGCATGGAATTACATTCTGGATCGATTTTTGCATATACGTCCGTCTGTTTGTTCATATATTTTTGTAAACAAAGTACAGGTCGTATTTATTGCCCGATCCAGATGAAATTTTACACAAGTCATTTGTTTGACCCAAGGACGTTCCGTATTGAAATTGGAGATAATCCGGCAAAATTTAAATATAGCTCATGTCTTCGTCCGATTTTCCCAAACGTGTAATTACGACCAAATGAAGAAATAAGTATACCAAATTTGATCGAAATTGTTTCAGATATAGATATAGCTCCCATATATATTGTTCATTCGATTTGTTATTTTTGTCCTCCGCAGTATCAAATACAACTCAGAAATAGCTGCTTAATTTTATACCGACTTTAAGACTTGTTTTACTGGTTTAGCCTCGATTGGGAAATCTGACCAAAGCCTTTGCAAAAAATACAAGTGAAAAAGTAGCTAAGTACGGCCGGCCATAACTCCTTTGAAATGCTACATTTTCCAAGGTTTTCTGCAAACTTTTCCCGCTGCATTATTTTTACAAGACGAAAACATTAAATAGCACGTAGGTCTAATCTTTATGGTATGTCCCTCAAAAAATGATGCATAGAAATAATTATTCAAATTTAAAGGTTTTTTCTGAGTATGAACACCGACTGACGCTTTCTAACTCATTATTATAGAAACAAACTCTTCAAACAGATAGAGAACGACTACCAATTTTCTCAAATATTTTCAAAAATGTTAAAAATTTAAAATTCTTGCTGGTCCTGAAATAGAGCTTAAAGTCCTCCCCGTTGTAATGGATGTTTGTTGCGGTTAAAAGCATTTCGTAAAGTAAAGTCTTGGCACTGGTGTTACTTTAACGCAACATCACCGCGGTGCAAATGACTCTGCCATGCCTTAGAATTATCAATCCATTTTCAAACTTACCATGTATGCATGCATTCAAGTATTCCAAATTCGAAACGGTCTCAAAATCGCTGCCTTCGCCCAGCTTTTCAATTATTTCCTTGAACAACATTCTTTGGCGTGCCGGATCTCGCGCTAGCTAAACAAATTAACACAATTTAAATACTATTATTAAAATAATTTCCAAATTGATTTCCCAATACCAACCAGCAGCAAACAGTGCGATATAACTTGAGATATTGTCACATAACCATCTAAAAGTACACTCAAGGCGTGTCCCGTCAATTCTTCCACCTTTAGTCGCTTACTTTCGTGTAACTGTAGTAAATAGTTGAGGAAATCGGAACGATTTCTTTGCTCCTTATGTTGTTGCCTCTTTTTGAATGAATTGTGAATGAAGCGAATAAAAAATTTCTCTATTGGCTTTCTTACGAAACGCAATTTTTTGTATTTCTTGAGAGCCGGGACCAGGCCCGTAAGTACCATGTAGATAATGTGTATGAATGATTGTTCTGAATACGATTTGATGTGATCCACCATTGCTGGGGGTTTATTGTTGGAAAATGCATCAGCTTTTTGGCCCAAGATACTGTCGGTAACAATTTCGCAGGACAAACGTAACGTGAGCTGTAAGGAAGAAAAACACAAATTGTCTTTCCCTACATTCCTTGCAAAGACTTTCTAAATACTTACATCATTAATATCAAATATTGTCATAGATCCTGTCTTCTTATTTTCTCTCTCAATGTAGCTCACTAATTTTTTGCAGATTTTTGATGTTACCGAGAAACCCGACTTCAACTGGAACGTTATATATGAGAGTTCAAAGAGATTGACACATCGATCTATATTTCATATTATTTACCCTCGGCACTGCCAATCCAGGTACAATTTCAGCTCGTCGTTCAACCCATTCATCTCCTTTCATGGCTGTTGGATTATTAGCCAAAGTAAAATCAGAATTTTCATCAACCTGAAAAATATAACGTTTGCTTTTAACGCTTCATGTTAAAAACTGTATCAAATTTGAATACTTTTTTGAGAATTTTTTTCTTTTGTCAATACCCTACCCTATTGAATTTGGGGATTTTTTATACTCTCCACCATATATTAAATATATCCATACATTAGAGTATATAAAAATATATAAATATGGAGGTAGATTTGGTAGTGTGTATTCATGTATACGAAAAGTACAAAACTAATTTAGTACAAGTTGAATTTGGAGGAACGGATGAAACTGGAATCCATTACTGGCGGAGAGTAGGAATGGGATATGAAGGTAGTTTTCGAAATTTGCATTTCTGTAATAACGGTACTAAATTTGGTAAAATCTCGATTTTTGGTGAACCGATGGAGCTGACACGCTGAAATTTGAAAATAGGATTACTATCACATTGTAGGATTGGGGTATTGGTTAGGAACTTGGGAAAGTCTTACTTATATGTGCACACATTCTCAGATGAAAAAACTGCAACCAACTTCAAACTGCTGTCATTTCTAACCCAGTCGTCTGACAGCTGTAAAAATTATTCCAGTAACAGCTCATCATATTATTTGCAATCGTAGAAAAGCATTTTTCCAAAAAAAAGTTATACGTGATGGAATTCAAGCATGATAGTGTGATATCTTTTTATACCCTTCACCATACTATGGAGGGTATATTAACTTTGTCATTCCGTTTGTAACTCCTCGAAATACTCATGTCAGATTCAACAAAGTATATATATTCTCGATCAGAGTAAAATGTAAGTTCGTAAATTGACCATGTAGGTCCACATCTTCATATAACCTCCATATAACGGTACCTCCCGATATTCGGTATTTTGATGATTTTAGCGATATTATTCACCGGAATTTTTTCAAATTTGGTATTTGAAGTTCGAAATGGATACTACAGCCTAAGACAGAAAATTATCTGTGCAGGTTCACGTCTTCGTATAGCCCCCATATAACGGTACGTCCCGATATTCGGTAGTTTGATGATTTTAGCGACATTATTCACAGGAATTGTTTCAAATTTGGTATTTGAAGTTCGTAATGGGAACTACAGTCTGTGGCAGAAAATTGTCTATGCAGGTCCAGGTCTTCGTATAGGCCCCATACATCAGTACCTCCCTATATTCGGTATTTTGACGAGTTTAGGTACAAAACCCACCGAAATTGTTTGGGATGTCTTATTTGAAGTTCGTTATGAATGCTACAGCCTGTGACAGAAAATTTTCTATGCTGATCCAAGTCTTCACACAGCTCCGATATAAAGGTACCTCCCTATATACGATATTTTGATGATCTTAGCTACATTATTCACCGTTTATTTCCAGTTTCGAATTTGAAAATGGTAATGGCAATCAATTCCTATGTAAGTCCACGTCGTATAGACCCCAATATAACGGCTATATTTGGTATTTTTGAAACTTTAATAGAATTTTTTAAGGATTTTATTTTTTGATAATTTTTTAAATTCGTTCGAAATGGTGGAGTGTATTCAGAGTTCGGCCCGCCCGAACTTACTGCTTCTTAACTTGTTATTTGACTGGAAACCCACAACTGACTATCGTTAGGACACTCCAGCATTTAAATGTGAATAACTCTTTTGTGTCTAGTAGCATCGCTCGCTACCGTGATACTGGCAGCGTAGCTCAACGTCAAATGGCTCGTGAGCTGAACGTATCGCAATATTTTATTCGGAACGGAACTTACACCGTAATAGAAAGAAAATAGACTCAAAAGAGCTAACGAGTTGCTTCGCTTGGCCGAAAGAGGTGAACTGCCGAATTTGGTTTTCTCCGATGAGAAAATATTCTTTGTCCAGCAGTTTGTAAACCAACAAAATGGTTACAAAATGAGTTTCCTCGCTTCATTTCCAGCGCACCATGGCCACAAAAATCTCCGGATACCAATCCCTACTATTATGTCTGGAGTATTTTGGAAAGCAAGGTTGGCAGTAAATAATACCAAAGTGTCGATCACCTCAAGCAAGCGCTTCGCCGGGAATGGGCCAAATTACCGTAGAGCAATATGCGGGCAGCGTGTGACGGTTTCATTGGCCGTTTGAAGGCCATAATTCGGTGACCAACTCGAACAAATCTAAACTTATTCTAAAATTTGATGCTCTTTTGGAAATTTTTTGCTTTCATTCAATAAAATAAAAAAAAGTAAAAAATATGCCATTTGACTTTGTTGCAGTTTTTTTTATCTCACCCTGTATATGTTTATAAATAGTACAATTAAAATTTTGGTGGAACCGGTAGAGTTAGAGTCCTGAAATTTAAAAATAAGATTTCTTTTGGATTGTATGATATGGGTAGTTATGGAAATTTGTACTTAAGTGTACTAATTGGTACAATTTGGATTTGGGTGAACCAATAGAGCTTAGAAACGTATACTACAAGTGCACGAAAAGTACCAAATAGTACTATGTTTGGTACAATTTGGCTTTGGGTGAACAGATAGTGCATAAAATGTGAAATTTATCATTAAGTTCGCTGTTCATTTGTAGTTTGGGTGAAGGGATAGAAATAAAATTGTGTATTTGGTGAAGGGGTGAGGATTGTTTTGGATATGCGTACTAAATTTGTTCCTGGGATAGAGCGGAAATTCTGAAATTTGCTATTGAGGTCACTGCTGGTTTCTTGGGTTTACATATGAAGATGTTGAAATAGTTTTGAACAGAAAAATTGGATGGTTTTACCAATATCCTGCTCGGCCAACTACAAATTGACAGATTTAAAACACTTCTTGGTGTAAGATATAAAAAAGCTCCTATTATATAAGGGAAAAAGTTGAAAACTATAGAAAACCCAGAAAGATGGAAAAATAAGTCCGATATATGAAGTTATGATTAGAAAAAGTTGTCAAAAAGAAAAAAACATATATTTTAAGTACTAAAAAGGCCTAACACGAACTCTTGGAACTAATTCAAATTTTAAGATGGACTTTTCGCTTTCGGAAATTTTCAGAAAAAAAAATCCGTTATAGATTCTGTTAAAATCTTAAAAATACCGAATATATCCGTTATATTGGGATCTATACGACGTGTACCTACATAGGCATTGTTTGTCATATTCAAATTCGAAACTTGATATAAACGATGAATAATGTAGCTAAAATCATAAAAATACGGAATATCGGGAGGTACCGTTATATGAGGGCTACACGAAGACGTGGACCTGCACAGACAATTTTCTTACGAACTACAAATACTACATCTCAAACAATTTCGGTGGGTATTGTACCTAAAATCCTCAAAATACCGAATATAGGGAGGTACTGATATATAGGACCTATACGAAGACCTCGACCTGCATCAAAAATTTTCTGTCACAGACTGTGGGAACTATAAACTCTAAATTCGTAATTTGAAACTACTCCGGTGAATAATGACGCTAAAATCTTCAAAATATCGAATATTGGGAAGTATCGTTATATGGGAGTTATACGAAGACGTGGACCTACATAGACAATTTTCTGTCATAAGCTGTAGTATCCAATACGAACTTCAAATAGGAAATTTGAAACAATTCTGGTGAATAATGACGCTAAAGTCATCAAAATACCGAATATTGGGAGGTGCCGTTATATGGGGGCTATACGATGAAGTGGACCTACATAGCCCATTTTCTCTTTTATGCTGTAGTATTTATCGCGAACTTCAAATACCAAATTTGAAACAATTCAGGTGAATAATGACGCTGAAATCATCAAAATACCGAATTTTGGAAGGTACCGTTATATGGTGGCTATACGAAGACGTGGACCTGCAGAGAAAATTTTTCGTCTTAGGCTGTAGTATCCATTTCGAACTTCAAATACCAAATGTGAAACAAAATCATCAAAATACCGAATATCGGGAGGTACCGTTATATGGAGGTTATATGAAAACGTGGACCTACATGGCCCATTTACGAGTTTAACCTGCCTACTTAATCTGCAAAATAAACATGTGTGCAAAATTTTAGCCTTCTATCTCAATTCGTTCAAAAGATAGCGTGATTACAACAGACAGACGAGCGTCGCTAAATCGACGTAAAATTTTACGCTGATCAAGAATATATATATATATACTTTGTTGGATCTGACATGAGTATGAAACGGAATGGCAAAGTTAATATACCCTCCATAGTATGGTGGAATTAGAATTAAAATTAGAATTAGTATCCAGACAAGCACATTTTCAGTACAAATTTGAAAATTCTAAGTAATTTTGTAGTCCAGTATGTATTCCGTATTCCAAAATAAATTACCTTTTCTCACCTTGTACTCACCATTGTCGACACTTCATTATCACGGAAATTTTGAAAATCTTTGACCAATATTTGTTTTATCAAATCGGTACTTGTTATCATCAACAGTGGTGTCCGGCAATTGAAAATGCCCACATAGTTATCTGTGGCTTTGTATTGTCTGCAATGTAAAAAAAAAGAGAAGAGTTCGTGATTTAATCAACTGCTCACACACTTTAAGATATCAACTTGAAACTCACTCATATATTTCTTGTATGTCGAAGGCGATATGACGTTTCTGTGTAAACACACTTGGAAAGTTGCCCACAAATGGTTTCGGTCTGGGACCGTTGACACCACGTTTTTTCCAATAGTCAAAATTCCAGACGAGAAACATATACAAGAGTATTAAATTGAAGCAGATCAACCAGAGTATTGTTGTTATCATTTTCTCTTGGCTATTTGTTGAATGTTACGCTTGCCACGATGTGCGAGACAATGTTTACCGGAACATGTATTGAATATAACTGCCGAGTGTGCGTATGGTGTCAATTTAACAATGCGTATATCTAATAATGAAGAACTATGATTTTACATATTTTATAAATTATTTTAAATTACGAACCACAATGGATTGAGTGTTGTACTGAAAATAGGGGTTCATATTTTGAGTTTATTATGAGCACATATGGAGTATGGAGAATGCATGCCCCATACAATATCTCAACCTGCATAAATGCGGCAAGTACTGAATAGTGAACTAAGTTAATTCATGAACGGCAAATATGGAATGTTTGGTTTGAAGAAATAGTTGTTTTAGGTTTTGTGGAGCTTATAATATATTTTAACACATGTTTATATATCATCGCTATACTTTTTGGACTTTATATGCAATTTAAAATATTATATACGAATATTTTGTTTTTTTTAAATAAAAGTAAAACAAACTCAAGAATTTAAAAAAGTTTTTAAATCCTCCACCTTGGAAAGGAGGGTATTCTAAATTTGTTATTCCGTTTGTAACACCTCTAAATATTCACCATGGACCCTATAAAGTGTATATATTCATAATCAGCATAAAATTCTAAGTCGACCTAATGATGTTCGTAGAGCTTTAAAGTTTGGCACAGTAGTTTGTATTGTGACTAGAATGGTTGGTATAGAAAATGAGGAAAATGATAACTCCCGATACTCGGTATTTTATTGGCTTAAGCTACATTTTCTAGAGATTTGTCTAAGAATTGGTACTTTGTAGTTCTTTATAGGTTCTATCTCCAATGGCGGAACATTGTATATATAGGTCGACGTTTTCGTATATAGCACACATATAACGGTTCCTTCAGATATTCGGTATTTTGACGACGATTTACGATTGATTGACGATTTAGTATTTTATAACAGGTTCTACAACCTGTGTCAAAACATTGTCCATATTGGCCAACGCTTTTCATTCAAAGCAATATGGGGTCAATAATGGGCCTTTTGAGTCAAAAATTCACAGGGATGAGGTATCCTTCCAAAGTTTGTTTTTATGTGCTGATTATGAAGAGAAAAGGATTTATCATATTTGTTCCGAATCGGCAAGAATAAAGATATAAATGCCACCATATAAGTTTCATTTTCGAGAAATATTTCATAAATATATCTGTAATTTCTCGTATACTAAGTCGTTTTTATGATCAGGATCAGTAGTAACGGTCTATAACAGATGAAGGCCCTGAAAACCCCGTACTGATCAACAAATTGTGAGAGAAATTAAAAACAACCATTTTCGGATACGATAATACTAATTGGAATCCAGTTCAATGAAAAAGCATTTTATTCTGGGATTAATCTACGTTTAATATTTAAGACTCAGAAATGAAAAATTTTACGGTGAGAAGACAAAAAAATGAATGATTTTTTTAATGTTTTTTTTTCAGAGGGAGGTATTTGCATATATTTTTTCTTGCGGGACGGACCCGCATACCCGGATATTCAACCCAAAACCCGGGTTAGACCTACTAAATAGATATGGACAATATAGGTATTATTTGAACAATTGGTTTGATTTGTTTGAAAGGTACCACACGACTCTTTCAAAAAAAAAAATAAATAAATAAATAAATAAATAAATAAAAATAAATAAATAAATAACTAAATAAAATAAAAAATAAATAAATAATAATATTAAAAATAAAATAAAAAAATAATAAATAAATAAAATAATAGAAATCCGTTGTTAAAATAGAAGTTATGCACGTTTAAAGTTGCAAATCCAAGAAATTCGGATTTCTGTAATTGGAAATGTGTTCTATAACTGAACGAAAAGTGCTGAATAGTATTATAATTAGTATTAAGTGAAGGCTAGGGATTAAATCTTGACATTTGATATAGATGTCACTGTTCATGTCTGTTGTTAAGATATGGAGGTGGTTTTGGAAATATATACTATAATTGTTCGAAAATGGTACTAATTTTGGAACACAATTAGTATCTGGGATGGAGAGACGTGGATTATTTGGAAATTTTGTTTGGAAATTTTTGGTATGTGGTGAATTTCAAAAATTATGATTTTTTTGACGTCACTGTTGGTTTCTAAGTTTTACATACATACGTTGAGCGAGTTCTGGGCAGAAAAATTGGATATTGGTCCACAATACAATGGCTTTACTGATATCTTCCTCGGCTAATTTCAAAGTTAAAGATTTTGAGCACTTGTTGGTATAAAAGGTAAATAATTACTATCCGAAAAAGGAAAAACTTTAATTACATATAAGACCCTGAATGTATGAAAATTTCGTACAATGAAGTTTTGATTTTTTTTCAAACTGAACAAATTGTACATTTTGAGCACTAACAATTAAAAAAGGAGCAAAGTTGAACTTTTAATAACCTTCACCATTTGGAAAGAACTTGAAAAATTTCCAAAAAATAAAACTCAGTCATAAATTGCCTTTCTTCCATTAGCACAAGAACTGTTTTGAATATGAAATATATCGGACCACTTTTTCTGGTACCTCCCCCATGACGAGTCAACATTTTGAAGAATTAAAACTTTCATAATATGCCAAATAACCACCAAGTTTCGCACATCCCAATATTTCAACTAACACAATATCTAGTGTGACGATCATCACCACGTTCTGGTTCCTGACCCCAAAAGGCTTCAATTTTCAATACTCTCATAAGCAATCTTTTATAAGATACATTTAAGAAAAGGAAATTGGCTGAGGATAGACATACTCCAGACACAATAGTCCAACGGAAGGTCTGCGGCCAAAGTGTTTGCGTGCCCAAGTCTTTAACACACGCTCCAGAATATTTTCGCGATAATATTTGGCATTTATTCTGATGCCATCAGACCATCGGCTGTTATGGCGCACCGCACCATCACCATGGCCGGCGCTTGAGTTCTGGTGGCCAACGGAAGGTGTACATTTTCAGCTGACCTCTTTGGCAAGTCAACATGATCAGTTTGTTTGTTTACAAACTGCTGGACAACGAATGTTTTCTCATCGGAGAAAACCAAATTCGGCAGTTCACCACTTGCGGCCAAGCGAAGCAAGTCTTTAGATCTTTTGAGTCTATTTTATTTCTGTTGCGATGTAAGTTCTTGCACTTTTTGGAATTTCAATGGCTTTTCCCCGAGCTCATTTATTTTAATATTTGCCGAATGGAATTTTGCGATATGTTCAGCTCAAGAGACATTTTTCGCCCACTGCGACGCGGGTTTCGATCAAGTCGGTTCTTTACTTTTCGAACTATTTCTGCTGATGTTGCTGTTTTCTTTCGTCCACTTCCTTGACGTCGGGCTACACTACCAGTATCACGGTAACGAGCGATGTTACGAAACCAAAGGATTAATTCACATTTAAATGCTGGAGTGCTCTAACGATAGCCACTTGTCGTTTTCCAGCCGAATATAAAGAAATCACACTATCACGCTTGAATTCCATCACGAATACCTTTTTTCTTTAAAATTCTCACCAAAATGCTTTTGTAACCTTGTCACTGTCACTGAAATAATTTTATTTTGGTTTTTTGGTTGCAGGTTTTACATCTCATCCTTTATAGTGAGATTTGCGCGAAGAATATTTCTCTTTTGACACTTTTTGCTTAAAGCAAAAATGTATTTTACTTTCATGCATCAACTCGAAAAATGACGAGGAAAGTTTGATCAGAAAAACAAATAAAAATGCTGTAAGTTCGGCCGGGCCGAACTTTTAATACCCTCCACTACTTGGTACAAAATTGGCAATTTCCACCAAAAAAAAAAAAAAAAAAATAAATAAATAAAATCCGTTAAAAATTCTGTTAAAATCTTAAAAATACCGAATGCTTATACGACGACGTGGACCTGCATAGGCAACTTTTGTCATAAGTTATTACAATATTTAAATGCGAAACTTGAAGAAAAATCTGTTTATATGCACAGACAATTTTCTGGCATGGGCTGAAGTATCCATTACGAACTTCACATGCGAAATTTGAAACAATCCCGATAAATAGTGTCGCTAAAATCATCAAAATACCGAATATCGGGGGGTACGGTATATGGGGGCTATATGAAGACGTGGACCTACATGGCCCATTTTCTGTTTTATGCTGCAGTATCTATTGCAAACTTCAAATACCAAATTTGGAACAATTCCGGGGAATAATGTCGCTAAAATCATCAAAATACCGAATTTCGGGGGGTACCGTTATATGGGGACTATATGAAGACGTGGACCTACATGGCTCATTTTTTGACTTAGGATGTAGTATCCAATACGAACTTCAAATGCCAAATTTGAAACAATTCCGATGAATAATGTCGCTAAAATCATCAAAATACCGAATATCGGGAGGTACCGTTATATGGGGGCTATATGATAACTTGGACCTACATGGCCCATTTTCGAACTTAACCTGCCTATTGGCAAAATATGCATGTGTGCAAAATTTTAGCCTTCTATCTCAATTTGTTCGAAAGATAGCGCGATTACAACAGACAGACGGACAGACAGACAGACAGACACACAGACAGACAGACGGACATGGCTAAATCGTCTTAGAATTTTACGCTGATCAAGAATATATATATACTTTGTTGGGTCTGACATGAGTATTTCGAGGAGTTACAAACGGAATGACAAAATTAATATACCCTCCATAGTATGGTGGAGGCTATAATTAGGATATATTTTAGCTTTGTCCCCTTCTGCAATATAACGGATTTAGACCCGTTAGGCCGAATACGTTTCAGGTTATTTGGAGTTGATCTAGGGGTATCCGTCCATTTATCTGCCTATCTGGCTGTTGCGTACGATAATTGTCGACGGGAGTATCTGATTTGATCCTAATATGGTACAGTGTAATATTATCGTCAACCTTAGATTGAGTTCGGATATGGGAAATATCAGTGCACTCCTTCTAATACCTCCCACACACATGAGCAAATTTTTTACAGAAAATAATTTGCCTAATATAATAAGAAAATATCATCCGATTTTGTGTAATCTTTGACATCACGATATTTTTATCAATATTTTATCAAAGGCTATAGCCTTTGCTCACTTGTTTACTCTATTTTCATAATGTACGGACTTTTCCTATATTTATTTACTGTGTTGCACAGTGATATGAGCAATTCTGGCATGTGTTTTGGTTAATGCTTATTAAAAGTAGAGTAGCTTGCATCACAGTTTTAATTCTATCTACTTCGTCATTTTGTGCAGAGCGCTTTCGTGTTTTGCATATTAAATACGTTTTATAATTCATATGGCACATACAAATGGATTAATGTGGACACACCCATACTTATGGCGCGGAATACATAGAAGTATCCATATACGTTTTATTATTCTGATATTACACCTAATCTATATTTATAAAAGAGGAAAATGTTTGTATGTTTGTTTGTTTGTAAATTATGAACTCGAAAACCGCTAAACAGATTTTCCTGAAAATTTCCAAGTATACTGCAACGTCGCCTGAAAGTAACAAAGGCTATATAAATTTATGAAATTCCACTTGGGTCTGGGGATATAGCATCAGAATCGGAGGTACCTCCCAAAAATTTAGATTTTATATGCACATATCAATTGATAGGTTACAGATACAGTCTCCAAATTTGGAATGCGTAACGGAATTTGAAACAAAAATAAATTTGCCAAATTTTATTGAAATCGGTTCAGATTTGAATATAGCTCTTACATATATTTTCATCCGATTTCATGTATTTGATGCATTAAACACGATGTATACGCCACATTTCAATGACGTTTGAAGGCGTGATAGAATTTGTCTAGAAAATTATTTTGCCAAATTATATTGAAATCGGTTCAGATTTGGATGTAGCTCCCATATAATTTTCTACCGATTTCGTTTATATGATGCACCAAACACGATATGTATGTTCGATTGCAATGAAATTTGGAATGTGTGACGGGATTTTGATCCAAAAATAAATAAGTTAAATTATATTGAAATCAGTAAAGATTTGGATATGGCTCCCATATATATTTTCTGCGATTTTACATATTTGGTGCACCCAACGCGATGTTTTTGTCCGATTCCAAAGAAATTCGGACAGAGAGACGAAATCAGGTACCAAAAAATTTTTTTCAAATTATATTGAAATCGGTTGAGGTTTCGGTATAGCTCCCATATACCGTGCCTTGTCTATTAATAGAACAGTGTTGGCTTGTTTGTTCGGGATACCGTAGTATTTTGTTGTTGCAAAATGGTCAGGCTTTATCCCTTTATTGTTGTTTTTATAAAACGACGTTTGTTTATTAGTGGAGAACGATGGTAATGTTTACCAGGGGGTAAGGCAGGGAATACCTAGGTTTCGGAAAGAGCCACCAATCCTCATCAGTTCCCCTGTTTTTTTGTCTGGGTTATTCTCCCCAGAAGTTATCTTTAAAATAACTTCTATGACAAAAAACATTTTTTACCCAAGTGACAAGATCGTAAGCCCAATAGAAGAGGAACTAAAGAATAATAAAATAAAACTAAAATTCTTTTGGAAAGTCTTCGTAATCTTACAACCGCACTTATAAACATTTACATCTTTCTCCACTTGTTATGCTTTCGTTCAACCTGAACGAAGTAGCATATGTTTTTTGTCATAGAAGTTATTTTAAAAATAACTTCTGGGGAGAATTTCCCAGACAAAAAACAAGGGAACTGATGAGGATTAGTGGCTCTTTCCGAAACCTAGGTATTCCCTGCCTTACCCCCTGGTAAACATTACCATCGTTCTCCACTAATAACAAACGTTGTTTCATAAAAACAACAATAAAGGGATAAAGCCTGACCATTTTGCAACAACAAAGCTCCCATATACATATTTCTGCCGATTTCATGTATGTTATGCACCAAACACGATATATACATATATAACCGATTCCAATGAAATTCAGAATGTGTGGCGGAATTTGGTAACAATAATAAATTTGACAAATTAATTGGAAATCGGTTATGACTTGGATATATAGCTCCCATATATATTTTCGGTCGATTTCACGTATATATTGAAATCGGTTCAGATTGGGGTATGATTTTATTAAGAAATATTGACTCCAAACGCCTTTGCTATAGTATTAGACTTAAATTAAAAAAAAAACTACACGCCAATTTAATTGAGGATACGATTATAACGGGGAAGTACGTTTCTACCTTGAATTCTCTAATTCCTACAGAAATGCCACTCAACTTCTAAAGATTGCAGTTTCTTGCACGCCTGGCATTTGCTATGAAATTAATAAATACGAAGGATAGACCGTGGTATTTGTTTATTTACGCAATAAGGTATTACAACAGTATAATAATATACAGTAAATACAGTAGAATATTACAGTATAATTACTAGTTTAAATTTTGAAAAAAACAAAAAGTTAATTCTCTCCCAATCTTCAGCTAAAGCAGTGGCATCAAATCCGGTTTTAAATGCAATTTTATAAATCGCCCTAATATTTATTGCTATGACGAAATAATATTGTTGCACTTCCAAAAAGTCCTTAATTAATGCTATCAAACTCCAACCAAATACCGCCATCGAGACGCATCAAAGAATATGTAGGATCAAATCGATTGTCAGTGCGTGTTTTTGAATTAACGCGAATTTCAAAATTCCTTACAATTTCGACCAGAGCTCCTTTGATTTGGGTCAGAGCGAAACGCATACCTGAAAACATGTGATTTTTAATTTTCTCTGTGGACTAAAATACGCACATGACATACCTAAACAAATGCGTGGTCCATCACCGAAGGCCAGATATAAACCTTGATCCCTGTATTTCTTTAAACCACCATCCAGAAAACGTTCCGGTTCAAACGATGAGGCATTCTCATAATGTTCCTCATCTGCCATCAGAGCGTGTATGGGCAGTACAACAGTTGTACCTTCGTTTATTTTTAGGGTTTTGCCATTTCTATTTTCGAATTCAATGGATTCCGTGCAAAGTTTTGTTGAGAATGCACCAGGTGGGAATAGCCGTAGAGTTTCTAGATAAAGAAAATGCTAATTAATTACACTGTACGAAAAAATTATTATTATTATTTTTTTTTCATAATTGCATTAGAACCCCTATGGATTACGGAAGTAAAATTAACAAGTAAAAAAGCTGTAAGTTCGGCCGGGCCGAACTTTTAATACCCTCCACCATTTGGAACAAATTTGGCAATTGCCAAAAAAATAGAATAAATAAAATAAAAAAATCCTTTAAAAATTCTATTAAAATCTTAAAAATACCGAATGTCTATACGACGACGTATACCTGCATAGGCAACTTTTGTCATAAGTTATTACAACATATAAATGCGAAACTTGAAGAAAAATTTGTTTATAATGTAGCTAAAATCATCAAAATACCGAATATAGGGGGTACCGTTATATGGGGGCTATACGAAGACGTGGACCTGCACAGACAATTTTCTGGCATGGGCTGAAGTATCCATTACGAACATCAAATGCGAAATTTGAAACAATCCCGGTAAATAATGTCGCTAAAATCATCAAAATACCGAATATCGGGGGGTACGGTATATGGGGCCTATACGAAGACGTGGACCTACATGGTCCATTTTCTGTTTTCTGCTGCAGTATCTATTACGAACTTCAAATACCAAATTTGGAACGGTTCCGTTAAATAATGTCGCTAAAATCATCAAAACTCCGAATATCGGGGGGTACCGTTATATGGGGGCTATACGAAGACGTGGACCTGCACAGATAATTTTCTGTCTTAGGCTGTAGTATCCATTACGAACTTCAAAAGCCAAATTTGAAACAATTCCGGTGAATAATGTCGCTAAAATCATCAAAATACCGAATATCGAGAGGTACCGTTATATGGGGGCTATATGAAAACTTGGACCTACATGACCCATTTACGAACTTAACCTGCCTACTGGCAAAATATACATGTGTGCCAAATTTTAGCCTTCTATCTCAATTTGTTCGAAAGATAGCGTGATTACAACAGACAGACAGACAGACAGACGGACATGGCTAAATTGTCTTAGAATTTTACGCTGATCAAGAATATATATACTTTGTTGGTTCTGACATGAGTATTTCGAGGAGTTACAAACGGAATGACAAAATTAATATACCCTCCATAGTATGGTGGAGGGTATAAAAATATATGACATGTGTATCGGCATTTGGAAAATTTTTATCGGCTATTAATATAAATTGACGGCAAGGTTCCCCACTCTGCCCTATTTGTTTTAAATGTTCGCATTAATGTTTCTTGAAATATTAACAGTTTCATACCCTCCACTTTACATAATATGGAGGGTATATTAGGTTCAATATTCTGTTTATAACTCATCGAAATAATAATTTTACACCTAACAGCTCTGTCCGTTCGTCCGTCTGTCCAGTTCTTGTAGTCACGCGAAAGTCAAAACTAATTTAGATAGGAAGCTAAGATTTTATACAGATCAATCTTTTGTCTGCAGGCAAGTCAAGTTCGAAGATAAGCTACATTGGTCCACGATTTCGCATAGCCCCCACATAACGTTTCCCCGCATATTCGCTATTTGAATGATTTTAGCGACATTTTTACCGGAATTGTTTCAAATTTCGTATTTAAAGTTCGTAATGGGTACTACAGCTTATAACAAAAAATTGTATATGCAGGACAACGTGTTCGTATAGCTTCCAAACAAAACTTCATGCATCCTTCTTATTCTTCAGCTACACCAGTTCAATAACTTATTATTAATATTCAAGTCTCTTTTTTAATCGAATTAATCGAATTAATTAAAAATGAATAATTTTTGCACCAAAAAATATGTTCAAAATCTTTTGTTTTGAAGTTTACCGGAGAGCATATTTAATTAACTCTTGTCCCACATTCAATATTCGTATTCATAAAAAATTTTGCCAACGCCATATCTAAATCATAGAAACCAACAGTGACCTCAATATCCGTGGCCTCCATATCATCAAACCATCAGAATTTTAGCTCTGCCTTAAGACTCAATTCCATATTAAATACAGTTATGCAATGCATTTTCAAAACAATCTCCATATCTCCACACTAGACATCAACAGTGTCCTCGATACCAAATTTTAATTCCCTTCTATCACAGTACCCAATGACACATTTTGTGGCATTTAGCACTTTTAGCTACATTCATGGTAGGCATTTTCAAAACTACGTCCTTCTCTCAACTTCAGACACCAATAGTGGCCTCCATAAGAAATGTCCAGAATTGAGCTCTATCCTTTCACTCAATACCAAAGTTATTAACATTCATTTCTTCTCGTACAGTCAAGTACGCATTTCAAAACAATCTCCATTTCTCAACCTCAACAACAGTGGCCCCAATATCAAATTTTAGGATTTCCACTCCGAAATTTCTCCAATTACCAAATTTAGTACAATTTGGTACAATTATAGATCGCATTTTCAATAGAGAACTCAATATCAAATTTGAGGATTCCAAACCTATCTCTCCACCCAATACCAAACTTAGTACCTTTTAGTACTGTTCGTACAATTATTTTTCACATTTCCAAAACCACCTCCTTCTCTGTGTTCTAGATACCAACAGAGCCCTCAATGTCACATTTGAGGATTCCATACCTATGCTTTCACACAATACCAAATTTAGTACCAATTAGTGCTATTCGTACAGTAATGCTTTCCAAAACCACCTCCTTCTCTGTATTCCAGATACCAACATAGACCTCAATGTCAAATTTGAGGATTCCAGTCCTATCCCTTCACACAAAACAAAATTTGGTACCATTTACTGCTTTTCGTACAATTATAGTACACATTTAGTACACCTCCGTACATCAATTCCAGATATCAATAGTGACATTCATATCAAATTTCACAATTCCAGTTCTATCCCTTCACCCACTACCAAATTTAATACCATCTAGAACTTTAAGTACGAATATAGGTCGTATTTCTTAACCACCGGCAAATCTCAAACAGAGATGTATAAATATCACATTTCAGCATTTTATCTCCAACCCTTCAACTAATACCATATACCATATATTATTCAGAATTGTTCATATACACTGAACGACGACTCTAATACCAAATTTTAGATTTCAAGCCCTATCTGTTCACCCGATACCAAATTGTACTAATCATAGTATTATTTAGTACTTTTCGTGCACTTGTAGAACACATTTCCAAAACCACCTCTTTATCACAACCTAACAACCACTACTAGAGACCCCAATACATTTTTTATACCCTCCACCATAGTATGGAGGGTGGTCCACGTTTTGGTAACGGTTCCTCCCGATATTCGGTATTATGATGATTTAACCGATTTCTGTGCAGGTCCACGTGTTCGTATAGCCCCATATAACGGTACCCCCGATATTCGGTATTTTGATGATCTTGGCGATATTTTTCACCGGAATTGATTCAAATTTGATATTTGAAGTTCGTAATGGATACTACAGCCTATGACAGAAAATTGTCTGTGCAGGCCCACGTCTTCGTATAGCCCCCTTATAACGTTACCTCCCGATATTCGGTATATTTATGATTTGAGCCACATTATTCACCGGAGTTGTTTCAAATTTGGTATTTAAAGTTCGTAATGAATACTACAGTCAAAGGCAGAAAATTATCTGTGCTGGTCCACATCTTCGTATAGCCCTCATATAACGGTACCTCCCGAAATTCGGTATTTTGATGATTTTAGCTATATTATTCACCGATTTTTTGGTAAGTTTCGCATTTGAATCTTTTAATGGCTTATGACAAAAGTTACCTATGCAGGTCCATGTCGTCGTATAGACCCTAATGTAACAGCTATATTCGCTATATTTTTATAAAAACAACAATAAAGGGATAAAGCCTGACCATTTTGCAACAACAAAATACTACGGTATCCCGAACAAACAAGCCACACTCTCCTATTAATAGATAAGGCACGATCGACGAAGGAGTTTTTGTTGTAACAGAAAACCAACTTACATGGTTGTGCTACATCGTTCAGGCTGAACGAAAGCATAACAAGTGTAGAAAGATGAAAATGTTTATAAGTGCGGTGTAAGATTTAGAAGACTTTCCAAAAGAATTTTAGTTTTATTTAATTCTTTGGTTCCTCTTCTATTGAGCTTACGATCTCGTCACTTGGGTAAAAAAATATTTTTGTCATAGAAGTTATTTTTTTAAAATAACTTCTGGGGAGAATATCCCAGACAAGAAACAAGGGAACTGATGAGGATTGGTGGCTCTTTCCGAAACCTAGGTATTCCCTGCCTTACCCCCTGGTAAACATTACCATCGTTCTCCACTCATAAACAAACGTTGTTTTTATAAAAACAACAATAAAGGGATAAAGCCTGACCATTTTGCAACAACAAAATACTACGGTATCCCGAACAAACAAGCCACACTGTTCTATATTCGGTATTTTTAAGATTTTAACAGAATTTTTAACGGATTTTATTGTTTTTGAGAATTGCCAAATTCGTTCCAAAAGGTGGAGGGTATTCCGAACTTACAGCTTTTTTACTTGTTCAAAATTATATCAGTTGACACCGAACCCAACTGTTCCAAACTACGTACCATTTATTACAGTTGCCTCACTTAGTACATGTTTCCGAAACCATCTTCATATATTAAACTTACTTTCCGTCTTTAATTCCCGTACAAAAATTAAACTTTTTAGCTTTATCCGGTCACATAATACCAAATGGTACCATTGTAGTTTAGTAACATTTTAGAACTTTTCCTAAATTTAAATTTGGTATTGGGTGAAGGAATAGAGCTACAGTCCCTAAATCTGTTATTTAGGTCTCTCTTGGTGTCTGCTGTTGAGATATAAAGGTGGTTTTTGGAAATACATCCTATATTTTTTCAAAAAAAAAAAAAAAAAAAAAAAAAAAATACTGTCTGATACTAAATTTGGTATCAGAGTAAATTATACTGAGTTTGGTATTGGACAAAATAATTAGGCTGAAATCCAGAAATTTTGTTATTTAGGTCTTTGTTGGTGTCTGGGGTAGAGATATGAAGGTGGTTTTGGAAATGCGTCCTATATTTGTACAAAAAATGTTGAAAGATACTAAATTTGGTATTTGGTGAAGGAATAAGGCTGGAATCCGGAAATCTGTTTTTAGGTCTATTTAGTGTCTGTGGTTAAGATATGGAGGTGTTTTTGGAAATGCGTCCTATATTTGTGGAAAACTAAATTTCCTAAATTTAAAGTCCATCCTACACTTCATCAGAAATTATGATTCCAATTTTTAGAATTCCAGCTCCATCGGTTCATCACAATTCCAATTCGTACCAAATTCGGTACCATTTAGCCACGTTAGTTCGGATTTCAAAGCTCCTACATATCCAAATTTAAGGATTCCACCCCTGTGGGTTCGCCCAAATACAAATTGTACTCTATTTATTACATTTTTGTACATATAAATACAAATTTCCAAAACCCAAATCCAAATTGTACCAAATTTAATACCATTTTGTACACTTAAGTACAAATTTTCATTACTACCTACATCATTCAGTCTAATAGAAATTTTATTTCCAAATTTCAGGATTCCACCTCAACCGGTTCACCCAAACTTTAAATTACCTGCATTCCTTGGTGCAATAGTAATCTTGTTTCTAAATTTCAGAACTCCAACTCTATTAGTTCTCCCAAAATTTAAATTGTACCAAATTTAGTACGCATAAGTACGAATTTCCAAAACTACCTACAATCCTAGAAAACAATAGTAATTTTATGTCTAAATTTCAGAATTCCAGCTCAATCGGTTCACCCAAATCGGAATTGCACCAAATTTAGTACCTATTTAGTATTTTTCCTGCAAATAAGTACAAATTTTGAAAACTTCCTCCATGTCCCAATCCTGCACTTGGCAAGCAATGTTAATTTCAAATTTCGGTATTCCAGTTCCATCCATTCCTCCAAATTCCAATTGTATTAAATTTAGTACGGTTTAGTACTTTTTATACATGAATGCATACTTCCTAAACACCTCCTTACGTCGACTCGACTCCTCAATTTTGATTCCCATTCCAAATTTCAAGTTTTTAGCTCCGGTCGTTCAAATGATATGAAATCGTACCAAATACGAAATGGTACCAAATGTAGTAAATTTTAGTACTTTTCCTACACTTATTTTGCGAATTTCGAGAAACCCTTTGGTACATCTATCATACAATCCATCAGTTACCTCATTCCAAATTTAAAAGTTCAAGCTCTACTGCTTCCTCAAATACAAAGGGTACCATATTGGGAACCTTTTAATACTTTTCATACCGTTCTAGCACATATTTCCCAAAACCCTCCCTTATCTGACCCCTTCTGACGAAGAGCGGCCCTGACCCGAAATTTCAAGATCATATAATTACCATGAATACAAGCATCCAAATAAGGCAAATCCATGATAGTATCAAAATCATCGGTGGAATCCAATTTTGCAAGGATTTCATTGCGAAGTATTTGCTGGCGATTAGGATCACGTCCCAACTGAAATTCAAAATTAAACATAAATTACCAGATTTGTTTTCAAAACATTTTCCAAACTTACCAACAAAAGACAATGGGACAAAACATTGGCCGTCGTTTCAAAACCATCCAATAGGAAAGTCATTGTGTGAGCTGTCAGTTCTGGTATTTGGAGATTCTTCTTTTCCTGTAGGTGAAGCATATAATTTATAAAGTCGACACGATTCTCATTGACACCCTTCTGTTTTTGTTCTTTTCTCATGCTCAAAGAGTTTTCCATTAAGTTAACGAAAAACTCCTCCACAGGCTTTGGTATGAAACGTAATTTTTTCACTTTCTTAATCCATGGCAACATTCCCGTCAGTAGGATGTAGGCGATAAAAACAAACGATTGATCGAATATATTTTTGGTCATATCCAAAATTGGACATGGCCTATTGGCAAAAGCATCAGCCGAAAGACCCAGTACACAGTCGGTTACAACCTCACAGGTGTAGCGCAAACTCAGCTGAAATTGCAAAATAAATAAATATTTTATGGGAATCGGAGAAGGGATGATCGGTATCTTAAACACAACTTACATCCTTGCCATCAATGCCATCCTTGTTGCCAATTTTCATCTGTTGTCTTATAAAATCAATCATTGTCTGACAAACCTTATTTGTGACTGGAAAGACGGTTTTAATCTGCAATATGAAGAGTCTTGAGGATTTATTTTATTAGGTTATTATCCGTTTCAAAACTTTTACCCGATTTGTTGTAAAACCTGGAGTTATTTCAGCTCTTCGTTCCTTCCATTCCTCACCGGTCAGCACAAATGGATTGTTGCCGAGAATAAAGTCGGTATTTTTATCGGCCTATGGAAATGAAAAAATAAAAGTTAACAACACTCTGTAAAGATTTAGGGCTCAAGGCTTGAAACACGAAAAAAATATTAAAAGTGAAAAAATATTATACTCCCAGTCATGTAGCTATGTGCAAAATGTGCCTCATCAAAGTAACGGTTTCAGACCCTGTGTTTCTTTGAACTAAATCCGTTTCCGAATATTTAAAGTCCATATCAATGTCCGTCTGCCTGTCTGACTGACTGGTACATTCCACATTTGGTTGGTTGTAATAAAATGTTATCCAACATAAATCAAATTAATCTGTCACCTCTCCCCCAAAAGATCAAAATTTCCGTAGAGAGTAATTTACCACATAGAAAGAGAAAAGGAACTTTTTAAACCTTAATAATTGTTTCAATGCTAGGCCAATTGTGAGAAGGGACAACATCTGAGCACTCATTTTAATCCTCCTCATATAGGGTTAAAATTGTTAATAAAAAAATTTCACCTTAAAATTTTTAATTCATGTCAACAGTTCGTGTTTGGCCTTAAAATTCACAAAATTCAGTTAAAGTACGCATTTTCAAAACTATCTCCCTATCTCAACCTCAGATACCCAGAGTGATCTGAATATCAAATTTCAGGATTTTACCTTTGTAATTTTCCCCATTACCAAATGTAGTACCATTTAGTACAATTATAGTACACATATCCAGCTCTGTCTCTCAACCGCACACCAACAGTTCCCTCAATATCAAATTTCAGAATTTCAGCTCTATTCCTACACGCTATACCAAATTTAGTACTATTTAGCACTTTTTGTACAATTATAGTACACGTTTCCAAAACGTCCAGGCTACACATTAACAGCGTCCCTAATACCAAATTTCAGATTTTAAGTACTATACGTTCATCCAATACCGAATTGTACCAAATATAATATTATTTAGTACCATAGAAATCAACAGTGACCCTAATATCAAATTTCAAAATTGCAGCTCTATTCACTCACCCATAACCGAATTTAGTAATATTAAGTTCTTTTCGTACATTTAAAACAGATATTTTCAAAACAATCTCCATATCTTAACCTCAGATGGATCAAACATGGACCTGAATATCAAATTTTAGGATTTTACCTTTGTAATTTTCCCCATTACCAAATGTAGTATCATTTAGTACAATTATAGTACACATATCCAGCTCTGTCTCTCAACCACACACCAACATTAACCTCAATATCACATTTCAGATTTTGAGCTCTATTTCTTCACACAATACCAAGTTTAGTACAATTTAGCACTGTTTGTACAATTATAGTACACTTTTCCAAAACGTCCCAGCTACACATTAACAGCGACCCTAATACCAAATTTGAGATTTTTAGCACTATCTGTTCACCTAATTCCGAATTCTACAAAATATAGTATTATTTAGTACCATAGAAATCAACAGTGACCCTAATATCACCCATAACCGAATTTAGCACTATTTACTTCTTTTCGTATATTTAAAGTATATATTTTTAAAACAATTTCCATATCTCAACCCCAGATGGATCAGACATGGACCCGAATATCAAGTTTCAGGATTTTTGCGTTGTAATTTAGTTCTCTCCGTCTCTAAATCACACACCTCAATATCAAATTTGAGAATTTCAGCTCTATTCCTTCACACAATACAAAATACAAATGCATGTACAATTTAGCACTTTTCGTACAATTATAGAACAAATTTCTAAAACGTCCAAGCTACACATGAACAGCGACCCTAATACCAAATTTCCGATTTAAAGCACTATCTGTTCACCCAATGCCACATTTCCACAACCACCTCTTTATCAGAAATCTACCACCAATATGGACCCCAATACAAAATTTCAACTTCACCAGTTCAACCTAAACCCAACCGTTACAAAATTGGAATCATTTACTTCGAAGAATGATATACGTCCATCAACATTAGATATTTTGTGAATATGAGATTGGTCGATTGACATCTTTTGGTACCTTCCCAACAAAGGGTCAAGGGTCAGGGTTTTGAATAATTGTAACTATCAATATTTTTATTAATATTAAATTAAGTATATATATGGGATATGAATCTACATAAATTTATTATATGGTATCGAGGTATGGAAATACCAAGGGGATATATCTGTAGGCAACCCGACAACTTGCTGTATTTAAAAAATCTATATCTATAAAAGAGGAAAAATTGCATGCTTCTTTTTTTGTTTATTTTTTATACTCCTATACAGTTAAACATATTTTCCTGCAAATTTCCAAATATACTTTAAAATCGCCTGAAAGTAACATAGGCTATCTAAATTTTTGAAATTTCAATTAGAACTGCAGATATATCATCAGAATCGGAGGTACCTCCAAAAAATTAGATTTTGTATGCACATTTCCATTGATCGGTTATAGACACAGTCTTCAAATTTCGAATGTATAACATAATTCGATACAAAAATAAATATGCCAAATTATATTGAAATCGGTTCAGATTTGGGTATAGCTTCCACATATATTTTCGGCCGATTTAATGTATTAAATGCTCTAAACACGCTATGCATATCAAATATCAATGAAATATGGAATGTATAACAGATCTTTATACAAAAATAAATTTGCTGAATGACCTTGCAATCGGTTGAGGTTTGTATATGCTCCGTCGATTTCACATATTTGATGCATCAAACAAGATATGTGTGCCCGATTCCAATGACATTTGCAATGAGTAAAGAGATTTGACTCCAAAAATGATTTTGTCAAATTATATTGAAATCGATTTAGGTTTGGATATAACTCCCATATATATTTTCGACAGATTTCGCATGTTTGAAATGTGTGACGGAATTTGGTCTGAAAATAAATTTTGTCAATTTATGTTGAAATTAGTTCCGATTTGGATATTATTTTATTAGGAAACATAGACCAACAACGGCTTTGCAATACTATTAGGCTAACACTTAAAAAAATATTCAACAATTTAATTGAGGTTATACTGAGCAACATAACATAATTATGGAAAAATCCTTGAAGTCGCGTGTAACGACATTTTGACATTTTACATCGGAAAACAACTTATATATAGAGAGGTCAAGTTCCCTTACTACACATTTTTGAAATTGTCGAATAAATATTCCTTGGAATTCATTTATTATATATGCACTGTTCCTGAACCTACAAGAATCTAATATTTTTGAATTTTATTTTGATATCATAAAGGGAAAGTCGGTTATCGTAGTAAAAACTTTTACATTCTTGCAGTTCTGGAACAAACCAATAGTGTTTTCGGCAATGGTACATATAAAAATACAAGGATTTTTGTTTGTAAACAATTCTAACTCACAAGCGGGATCGTAGCAAGAAACCAGTAAGGATAGGTCAAAAGTCGGACGGGGCCGACTGTATGATACCCTACACCACCATACGTATTTAGTAGAGCCCACGTAACCAAAAGTTTATATTGGGGATTTATGTGAAGTAGTTCACACCAACTATGAACCAAACAACATTGCTGTGTCGACGACACTATATATTTGATCTGACTACCACCAATCTCAAAGCTTTCGTCCTTGAATACAGGGACAGACCGACCGACGCACGGACATGCATTAATCAATTCAGAATGCGATTCTATGAAGATCATCAAAAAGAACTATGGGTCTATCTAGTTTCCTTCTGCATACTACAATAATAATATATATTTCAGTTAGGAATCTCAATCTTCCATGCATTTTCATGTAGGTATCTGTAGACCTCAAGGTCATATGGCTACAGAGGGTATATATCATTTGATACGGCCAAAACGTGCCTACTAGAAATAACGGTTTTAGGCCCTATGTCTCTTCAGACCAAACCGTTTCAAGGCATTTGGAGTCGATCTAGCGATGTCCGTGTGTCTGTCTGGCTCGTGCGCACAAGAACTCTCGAACTGAGTATCCGAATTGGTCCCAACTTAGATCGGATTCGGAGATGGGCAAAATAGGTCCACTCCTTGGTACCTCCCCCACAACGGGTCAAAATGTTGAATAACCATTAAGCTCGTAAAACGCGTCCTGTTATTTTTAAATTTCACGCATTCCAAAACTTGCACTTAAGCAAGCGTATAATTCTAAGTTAATACAGCTATGTCCATCTGTCTGTAATCACGCTATCTTTCGAACAAATTGAGATAGAAGGCTACAATTTTGCACACATGTTTATATTTCCAGTAGACAGGTTAAGTTCGTAAATGGGCTATGTAAGTCCACGTTTTCATATAGCCCCCATATAACGGTACCTACCGATATTCGATATTTTGATTATCTTAGCGACATTCTTCACCGGTATTGTTTCAAATTTGGTGTTTGAAGTTCGTAATGGATATTACAGCCTACGACATAAAATTGTTTGTGCAGGTCCACGTCTTCATATAGCCCAGTCTTCATATAACGGTACCTCCCGATATTCTGTATTTTGATGATTTTAGCGACATTATTTACTAGAACTATTTCAAATTTGGTATTTGAAGTTCGTAATAAATACTTCAGCCTATGACTAAAAATTGTCTGTGCAGCTCCAGGTCTTCGTATAGGCCCCATATATCAGTATATCCCTATTTTCGGTATTTTGACGATGTTAGGTACAATACCCACCGAAATTGTTTAAGATAATTAATTGAAGTTCGTAATGGATGCTACAGCCTGTGACAGAAAATTGTCTATGTTGGTCCAGGTCTTCGCACAGCTTCGATATAACGGTACCTCCCTTTGTACGATATTTTGATGATTTTTGCTATATTATTCACAGTTTATTTTATGTTTCGAATTTGAATATGGTAATGGCTTATGACAAACAATGCCTATGTAGGTCCACGCCGTATAGACCCTTAATATAATGGCTATATTCGGTATTTTTAAATTTTTAACATAAATTTTTAAAGATTTTATTTTTTGAAAAATTTCATATTCATTCCAAATGGTGGAGGGTATTCAAAGGTCGGCCCGGCCAAACTTACTGCTTTTAACTTGTTTTATTTTCAAAAAGTTACAAACGGAATGACTTACTCAATAAATCCTATAACATATGTTTTAATGTTATCAAAACTAACTTACCATTGTTGAGGCATCATTGTCGTGAAAATGTTTAAAATCCGTAACCAAAACTCGGCGTATCAATTTCGGATTTATTACCAACAATTGTGGAGTTCGGCAGTTATAAATTCCCACAAAATCGTCGGACTTTTTATATGTTCTAAAAATTAGAGATTGCGGCATTACATTTAGTTATCACTTCTATATGAAAATGAAAAAGACCCACTCATAAATATCATGAATATCACAGGCTATGCTACGTTTTTGAGTAAATCCACTGGGATAGTTTCCCACAAAGGGACGAGGTTTTGGGCCATTCACACCACGCTGTTTCCAATAGTTAAAGGGCCACACCAAAAATAAATACAACAGCAATAAAATTGCACAAGCTAGCCCCAAGGCGAAGGCTAACATTTTGGTCGGATTTTGTGTTTTTCTTTTCTCTATTTTCAACTTCCTGTTTTTATTAAGTTTGTTTTTTTCCAACTAAGCCACACACTACCGCTGCAAACATCCACTAACGACTGAAGAGATTCACCCTGACATTTGTCTGACTAAAGCTACATATTCAGAATCCTGTTGTTGTTGTTGTTGAAATTAAACAATTGATTCAAATCAAAAAAATTGTCTCTGTTGAAAATGAACGATTTATTCTATTACTGACATACTAGCACCCAGCAGAATATTTAATTAATGCAAGTCATCTCGTTGGACAGTGATTTAGGGGAGGACGGGCGGTTTTTTTCAAGTATTGATTAGATAAATGTAACGCATGCCTGATGTGAATGTAAAAATAAAGTAACAGTGAAATTACATTAACTAATCACGAGTGTGTCAAAAAAGATATGTTGATGTAACCCTAGAATGGAGAGTGTTTTTAGTTAGTCATACTTAATGCGATATAGAGAAATATTTTTCAGAACCCCACATTACAAATATACGGATCTGTGCATATGATACCTGTAATGATACTTGGATTTTTATTTATTATACCCTACAACACTATGTGTTGGGGGTATTATAAGTTTTATTGGGCCAAAAATTATGTAACACCTCGAAATATTGGTTTCCCACAAGGGAAAGTATATATGGATCTTCCTATCTCGCCGAGCTGAGTCGATCTAACTATGTATGTCCGTCCGTCTGTCCATGTTAATTTGTAATCACTCTACAGATCGCAATTATAGTCCGATCTTTACGAAATTTAGAATGGAGGTGGGGTTTGGGCCAGAATATAACCCTATTTCTTTTGGAGATGATCTCATAATATTTAGGGGTTGAAATGGATCAAAAACTTAAAAATTTACTAATTTTCCAGCTGCTCTACAGGTCGCAATTATAGACCAATCGACGCGGAAGTTAGCATGTGGCTAGAGCTTTAGGCTGGGCAGAAGTCTTCCAATTTTGATGGTATTCGGATAATATTTAGTAAGTGAAAAGGCCATGACACTTGTGTTAAATAAAATCAATTTTTTCATTAAACCGCAAATATTTTTAATCCCGGCGAAATCACAAAAAGACGAACAGGTCAATCCTGACCGTTACGTAGATGCCGATAGTAAATATATCGGATATGTATAGCGAAATATGTACTATACATATATACAAAGGAAGGGAATGTTAGCTAGAATGCTTATGGCTGTACCGATTTTGACAAATTTTGTCATTTCAGAATACCCTCTTCGCATAAGAGAATAAAATCTGAAAAAATCGCATAAAAATGTACCAATAATGGTGTCATTATAGATTTTGTAGCATTTTGTGACATTTTTTTTATTTTTTCGTATTTTTTATCGTATGCTATTTCTTCAATTTGACTTATAATATTGAATTGTACATTTTGTAAATTTTTTTCACCTTACAACACGGGTTGGGGTTATTATATACAGATTGCAATTATCGTCCGATCTTCACGAAAATTTTCACAAGGGTAAGGTTAGGCACAGAAGGACCAGGCCAACCACTAAAAATGTTCTTGATTTTGCAGCCGTTATACGGTCGCAAATAGAAACCAAAGGAGAGCGGGTAGAATGGTCCACTACTCTTGTGTGAAAAAAATACCAACATTACTTACAGGCGATATCCGAAATACACAAAAGGCGAACTTCTGGCTTTTATATTCTGATTTCGTTGATGAATATAGTCAAATATCGTAGACAAGCAAATCATATAGATGGGTCTAAATTTGTAGATGCAGAACGGCTTCTTGCTTTTGGAGATGATCGCAAAATATTAAGGGGCTCAAATGAACCAAAACAGAACAAAATTACTGATCACACAATTGAAGCCAATCGACATGCCTGAGAAGAGAGTTAAGGATAGGGAAGAATTCTAAATTTTTGGATGACCATTGGATTATATTTAGCTGTAAAGTGAACCACAACAACTAACAGCACTACGGAGTGCGCAAATGTCCCTAGTCAAAATGGTAAGGACAATATCTGGGCAGTGCTCCATGACAAAATTCTAAAAGCGAAATCTTCCAAAATGGTCTTGGACATAAGGGTGCTTCTAACATATTGTAGTGTTGTAGGGTATCACATGGTCGGCCCCGCACGACTATAGCCTTTGCTTACTTGTTTTTTTTTTAATTTTAAAGAGTCACCCAATAAAACGGTTAAAATGTGGTTCTACTATTGATATAAAGCCGAGAAGAACTTATACAGGTGGCGCAAAAGTAAACTTCCGATGTTTTCTGGCTGTAATTTAAAAAATAAATGAAAAACTTCGATTCTTCTTGCGGATTACTTTTATTATGTCTTTAGTATACCCTCCACCAAAGTATGGAGGGTATATTAAGTTTGTCATTCCGTTTGTAACATCCCGATATATACATTCTGACCCCACAAAGTATATATATTCTTAATCAGCATAAAATTCTATGTCGATTTATCAATGTCCGTCTATCCGTCTGTCCGTCTATGGAAATCACTCTAGCAGCCGAACGAAATGAAGTAAATTGATAAAAATTTACTGAAATATGTATTATGTCTGCAGGACTTTTGGCATTGAAAATGGGCCATGTAGGTCCACGTCTTCCTATAGCCACCATATAACGGTACCTCCCGATATGCGGTATTTTGATGATTTTTAGCGACATTATTTACAGGGTTTGTTTTAAAATGGATATTTGAAGTTAGTAATGGATACTACAGCCTAAGACAGAAAATGGATCATGTAGGTCCACGTCTTCGTATAGCCATCATATAATGGTAGCCCCCGATATTCGGTATTTTGATGATTTTAGCGACATTATTTACCGGAATTGTTTCAAATTTGGTATTTGAACTTCGTAATAAATACTACAGCATATGACAGGAAATTGTCTGTCCAGGTCCACGTCTTCGTATAGCCCCCATATAACGGTGCCCCCGATATTCGGTATTTTTATGATTCTATGTTATGATTCGGTATTCTATGATTCTTCTTATGACATTATTTACCGGAATTGTTTCAAATTCCGCATTTAAAGTTCGTAATGGATACTACAGCCAATGACAGAAAATTGTCTGTGCAGGTCCAAGTCTTCGGTATTTTGATGATTTTAGCGACATTATATATGTTATAAACAGATTTTTTTCAAGTTTCGCATTTGAATATTGTAATAGCTTATGACAAAAGTTGCCTATGCAGGTCCATATCGTTGTATAGACCCTAATACGCGGCTACATTCGGTATTTTAAAGATTTTAAAAAGATTTTTAACGGATTTTATTTTTTTGAAAATTGCCAAATTTGTACCAAATGGTGGAGGGTATACAAAGTTCGGCCCGGCCGAACTTACAGCTTTTTTACTCGTTTCTTTTTACATTAAGCCGAGAATATGATGTCATGTATATGGTCGCCGCAACAGTTTATTGTCATTTGAGCCCTTTTATGGCATTTTCCATCACTTTTCCATTTAATAGCTGAAAGAGTCTAAGGCTTGTTGTCATAAACCCGCGACTTCAAAAAGCCCCATAAAAAGAAGTCTCTAGCGGTCAAAGCAGGCGATCTTGCTGGCCAGTGCAAATCGCCATAACGGAAGATTAGGCGCCCAGGAAATGCATTCTTCAGAATATCGATCGTGGCACGTGCAGTGTATGCCGTTGCACCGTCCTGTTGGAACCACATGTTTTCCAATCCCGACTCATCAAGTTGCACAGTAACCGTTTGGCCCGTGAAGTCTTCGAAGAAAAAAAGTCCTATGACTCCTGCAGCGAAAACAGCACACCATGCAGTGACTTTGAGCGGGTGTAATGGCTCTTCGTGAGGTACACGCGGATATTCAGTGCCCCAGGAGCATAAATTTTGCTTATGTACGTACCCGCTAAGATGGAAATGGGTCTCATCACTCATGATTATTTTTCATGAAAAATCATCTTCTTCTTGGTGGTGATTAAGGATGTTTTGTTAGATGCTATTGGCGATCAGCTGCTAACAGCTGATGCATTATCTGGACTTTGTATGGAAACATCTTCAAATCTCGTACCAAAATCCGCTGTAAAGACCGTCGTCTGATACTCATTTGCGTGGTATGTTGTCTGGTCGTTGTCGACGGCGCTTCCATGACATCCTGCGACGAAATTAACGTTGTGCCAAAGTCACCGACCGATTATTGATCAAATAAATAGTCAAGAATATTCCGCTTCTGGGGCAGTGTAGCGTAACATTGTTTATTAGAGTGTATTTTGCATATTTTTACTACAAAAATGTTTTTTTGTGATAGGAGGTTTAGTTTTTGCGCCACCTTGTATATGGGAGGTGTATCCTCCTCTGAATCGATTTCTACTAAATTTAATGGAGAAATTAGTATCTGAACCGATATTCATCAAATTCGCATTCTTTGAGCTGATGGGAGCTATATCCAAATCTGAACCAATCTCTATAAAATTAAGCAGATGTATTTCTATGCTGTAGCTGATAGTTGCCACCAAATATCGTTGTTGTGGAGAACATTTTTTCGGTGTGAGGGACTTAAATACAAAATCGGATGGAACATATATATGAGACCTATAGCTATATATTAACCGATTTTTTTTCTAAATTTAATACAATTTCTTCCACGATGGATTCGTTCGTATTCGCCAAAATCCTTTCAATTCGGGCCTATATTAACCATTTGGTGCACAATAAACTTGAAATCGAGCATAGATATTTATAAGAGCTATACCTAAATCTGAGCCAATCTTGATAAAATTTGACAAAAAGTATTTCTGAGGTATATTCAATATATGTCCACGAATATCAAATAACAAATCTGATGAACAATATGGGAGCTATAGCTATATCTGAACCGATTTTCACAAAAGTTTACATACTTTTATGCCAAATGCCATCCCATTTGGACTAATATTACACATTTGGTGCACAATAAAAAAATCGGAGAACAATAGTGGAAAACGATGGTATGTTTACCAGGGGGTAAGGCAGGGAATACCTAGGTTTCGGGAAGAGCCACCAACCACAAACACTGTTCTATAAGAGCTATATCTTAATCAATAGGGTTCGTCCTTAGGGCAAACTAATGATTTGTGGAAAATTTTATGAAGACATGGTAA